TGCATGTCTGTCTACCTGCCTACCTACCTACCTACCTACCTACCTACCTACCTACCTACCTACCTACCTACCTACCTACCTACCTACCTGTCTGTCTGTCTGTCTGTCTGTCTGTCTGTCTGTCTGTCTGTCTGTCTGTCTGTCTGTCTGTCTGTCTGTCTGTCTGTCTGTCTGTCTGTCTGTCCTGCCGACTAGCTGTCCTTGTCCAGAACTAGAACCTAGCAGCCCAGGTTAATTTCGGAGAACAATATTTGTGTTTGTACCCTGAAGCTTTGACCCGGGAAGCAAGTATCTAGCCGCTACGAAGAGGAGGAACGGGTTGGGAAAATGGCTCCCCACATTGGGACGGGCATTTTTAAACAGATAAAGAGTACGAGTAAAACCACAGGAAGCATCATGTAAATCTGAAGCAATTCTGGCTCAGGCTATGTCAAATATATTCTATGCATTCCAGCCAATTCTGGCTCAGGCTATGTCAAATATATTCTATGCATATCAGCCAATGTATTTATGAATTGACAATGTCAAATAGGTGGAGGGGGTAGGTGGGTAGAAAATAACTACATGTGAAATGCACTGTCTCTGTAAAGTCACTAACAATATAAGAATGAAGTGATTCCGCCACGTACTGAGACTGCAGCCTGACCAAACAGCATATGAGACTTTTTACAGCACAACATCTGAGAGCAAGGCGGGGGGGGGGGGGGGAACCAAGAAAGATATGGATAAATGGTGTGGTAGAAACCTGCAAACAGATGAACAAATCCATCACACAAGCCATTCGAGAAGCGCAAGATAAATAAGAAAACCACGACACTGGGTTACAACATGGTATCAGTGATACTATCAGTGAGACGGCAAAAGAAGAATGTGGGTTGAGGAAGTAAACGAGGCATTTCAAAAACGCAGTATGACGACACAGGCTTGACAACTAGGAAACGCCAGGAAACTATATATAATTCAATGCTTTTCGGCATAAATAATAGGGCAAAAGAAGAAGAAGCAGAAGAAAGAGAAGAAGAAGAAGAAGAAGAAGAAGAAGAAGAAGAAGAGAAAAATTGGAGGTCCAGAAGGTGGCTGTTGTGTTGATTATAGCGGCGACGGTCATGTGACCACAAAATGGCAGACGAGCTGTAGAACTCGATTCTCTCTGTCGTTCTGGATATTGCAGTTGCGGATATATTGCTAGAACTCTGGTAAGAAGAATACTTGCATATTTAGATATTCTTATTGTTATTCCATGTTTATATATTCAATTAAATTACGTTTTGTTTGTAGGTCGTTTGCTATGTGTCGCCGATTTGATTGTTTTGATGTTCGGGAGATAGCTTTCCTTTATATTATTATGAACTTGGTTACCCCGCCCTGTTTCAGCGAATGACAACACAGCTCCCAGCGGTTGAGTGAATCTTCTAAACATGTTCTGTCACCAACAGAGTCGGTAAGAACATGCGCTGATAATAACAGGGAGGACAAAACAAGGGACTAAAGGGGTCGATATGCGTGCACATTACAATATAAAATTGAAAATTTGGCTCTACTGGCAAATCCGGACGAAGAATAAAAAGCCTTGGACGACTTAGTCAGAGTTCTCTCCCTTGGCCGCACTCCAAACAGTGATCGGAAAAGCCACAACGAAACAAACGACACACTTACTTACCTATCATCCTACGGTTGTGTGTAGGGCTGCGTACGGTTGCGTGAGGCATCGTGAAGGGATGCGTGGTCATCATATGGTTGCATGCAGGGTTTGCGTACGTTTGTGTGAGGCATCGTGAATGGTTCTGTAGTCATCATGCGGTTGTTGGGTTAGAGTTAGGGGTAGGGTTGGGGTTAGGGGTAGGGTATTGTCACACTCAACAGGCGATGTAGAGAAGAGAATCCTGTTGCTGTTAATGCAGAGGTCAACGCTCTCATCGGTGAAAATTCAGACGAAGCAGATGCAATAATCTATACAGACGGATCCGTTATACGCCAAAGAAGAAGCGCATGGGCATTTACAGCACGCTCAGCGGGCAGAACAGTCAAAGAAGCCAACGGCGCCTTCTCCATGACAACCAGCAGCATGACGATGGAGGTGATGGCAGTGACACAAGCGCTTGCCTGGCTTGAAACACAAAAATACACCCGCGTGTGTATACTCAGTGATTCAATGAGTATGATCCGGAGGGTTTCAGGCAGGTTCAGTGCGAAGACAATGGCTTGAATCATTACAGAAGTCCACTGTTCGTGGAGTCACCTTTATTTTTGTTCCGGGACACGCAGGCGTCAATGGAAATGAAAGAGCTGACAGGTTGGCTGGATCCGCTATCACTACCGACGGTCAGCCTATGGATCATGCTGATATTATCAATGCCCTCAGAGAAATGGGAAGAATAGAGGACTTTGGTGGCAGTGAATCCACATCACTCGTCAGAATGGCAGACTTGGGAATTAAGATCGGCACAGCAAAAAACGAGACGCACACCAGCTACGCCAGAAGACTTGTTAATCAACATAGAACTGGTACTATTAGCCATCGGACGTTGGGGTTCATACTGAGGGGAGGATCTGAGCACCTATGGACATGTCCGGAGTGCAATGAGGATAACCCAACTAACTAACTAACTAACTAGGGGTAGGGTTAGGGGTAGGGGTAGGGTATGGTTAGGGGTATGGTTAGGGGTAGGAGTAGGGTTAGGGTTAGATGTGAAAATTTTGACGTAGGATTTCGAAATACTGGCCGACAATCTGATGTTTGTGGGAGTGGCGCCACTGAAACTCTGCCAAATATGACGCCAATAACGTGCGGCTGGTGCCCGCAATCGTTGGCGAATTGTGCGTTTGACCAGCATCCAGAGGCCCTCGATTGTTTGTGTGTGTGTGTATGGGACTGTGCGCGATTATAGGGAAATCCGGCGTCAAAATTGTCCAATCTAACGCTAAACCTAACCCTACCGCTAACCCTAATCCTAATCCTACTCCCTAACCCTAACCCCTACCCCTAACCACGCAAATTTATTGATCATTAAAGAATACAAATCAGCAAAAACCAACACACAAAACACAGCACACACAAAAAACCCCCCCAGATTTGTCCTGCAGCGTCGAAAAAAAACCCATATCTGGGGGAAACAACCAAGCATTGGCATCCCTGATGTCGACGTGACTGTCTTCTTTGTTTCGTTGGCTTTTCCGATCACTGTTGGGAGTGCGGCCAAGGGAGAGAACTCTGACTAAGTCATCCAAGGCTTTTTATTCTTCGCCTGGATTTGACAGTAGAGCCGAAAATTTGGCTATCTTCCGAATAACGGTCCCAAATTATCGAGGCCGAAAATATACCCTAACAGGGCCTCAGTCACATGTAAATTGCGGACTTTCGGTGACTTCAATTGCGCACTTCTGGCGACTACCACCACCGCCGAGAGTATCTCCCACGCCGCTATGCGTGGCATGTATTGAGGCTAAACTAGATGGCTAGGACTCATGAGCAGCCGCTACTGCTTCTCCTGCAGCTTCCTTTATTTTATTTGCTCGTGAGTCCCAGCCATCTAGTTTAGCCCCAATCCACGCCGCGCCTAGCCGCGTAGGAGATACTCTCGGGTGTGGCGGAAGTCTGCAATTTACATGTGACTGAGGCCCTATTAGGGCATATTTTCAGCCTCGATAATTTGGGACCGTTATTCGGAAGATAGCCGAATATTTTAGTAATTTTTACATGTTTACACTGAAAGTTTGGCTGTAGATATAGTATTGAACTCTTCTGCTACAGTCAGGGCGAGCACCGGAGCCTTTTAAAGCATCATCTTTTCAGCACTACTTTAATAGACACTTTGGGTTGCATACCGGCATTTGTAAATTAGACATTCTATTTTGAGTACTGACACCTTTCTTTCCAGGGAAACAAAAACAACAACCCTGGCTACAGTTGATGTCCAATACTTAGGAAATGTTTAATTGACGTGATAGTCTGCATTATGATTATGTTTGTCTGTTGTGATTCTATTTCACAAATCATATCTTTTCCAAGTTTATGGTCACTAGCTTTTTACTGTCTCTGTTGTATGTTTTTGATATGAACAATATTTATGTCTTTTGATTTATTTTATGCCCTGCCTCTTCTTATTTCTAACACTTGTTACTTTGAACAAATAACTGCATGTCTCAGGGAATTACAATCATAAACTCACATGAAATATATCGGTAAAACTGGTCTACCACTGGCTGACAGGTTCAGACAACATTTTTTAGGTGTGCAGAATGGTGCCCTGAAACCAGTTCTGTTACACTTCAATTTCCAGGATCACCAAAGTGTCCACGACATGGAGGTGACAGCCATTAAGTCTAGTTATTGCAGGGACAGAGTCCACACGTTTCTTAAGATTTGCTTTATTTTCACCTTCAGCATTTCAACACCCAGGGGACTGAACTGTCAGTACAGCTTCATCTAAAATTCTCTAGGTACAACCCTTGACTTTCCACAGCTATTTATTCTTAGTCCCAACGTGTCTCTTCATTCCACTGGCAAGACAATGTGGCTGCTTCAGGATGTGTCAGTTGAGTTATTTTGTATATTCATGTTTTTTTTTTTAATGTATGTGCTGATGAAGGCTCTATAGCTGCTACATTCATGTTTGGTTTGCGTTTGTTGTATTGTGAAGCTCGCTGATCTACTTTTTATTTGGTTTTATATCTTTCTATTCATAGTAATTCAAAACATCTCGTTTGTCTTTAATGGGTCTTCCTGTTACTGATGGAGAATGAAACATCAATAAAAGTGATCCAGTCTGGCATGGACTGAGATCTGATGGAATCAGATAAAAACATTTATACCATCTGCACATGATGTTGATGTATCTGTACGTACATTGGCCGTGCTCAAAATCTGGCCATGCCAGCAGTGTCTGCTGTATAACCTTGAGCATGTCTCTTATTGCAGATAATTAAACTCCAGTCGAGCTTTTGGTTTTGTGTCGGTGTGTGACTCAGTTGTTCTATACATCTGTGACAACCGCATCAATATGGCATCCATTTTAGACCAGTATGAGGAGGAGTCTAATCGAGCAGCAGTCAGACGGCCCAATGCAGTTGCCGGTGACATGGTATGTTTGTTTTAGATCATGTTATGTTAGTGTTACAAAAGTGTTAAGTTCACTTTGACGCTTGATGGATGTGGACATTATCAGATCAGGAACCTTTACTTCCCTGAACATTCTTCTTCATCTTCTTCCCTTCCTCTTTTAGCATTTTTGGTGTCGAGGAAGATTTAACTCCTTCAGTAGCCAGGAACTCACCATACATTTATTTATTGGTTACACTACATATGGTGCACATTCCTTTACTTTTCCTATCCCATTCTTATCTTATATTAACCCCTTATTTTCCAGCTTTTTTTCAGCTCTGTGAGACTAAAATTATTGCTGTAGGAAAAAAAAAAAACTTTAATGTAGAAACTGTTGATATCAACACTATCAGGCACCCACAGAGATACGATTCTTGAGAATATTTTCTGGTACTGATTTTAAGCTTTATCAACCTGGAAACACATTTGAGTTTTTCAAATAGTCTTCTGTGTGAGTGGACAACATCCAAACATAGATGGAAAGGAGTCTGTATGAGAATATTATGGGGTTTCCCTGACAGAGGGTGTTGGAGGCTCATTACAGTTGAGGCTTCATGTGGAGGTGGCACTTGATGATGATGGGGTTAAATGTTGAGGATTAATTGTTTCCCAGTAAGTAGTTGGATAAATATTTAAGTACTTTAAGCCAGACTGAATGACACAAACTGTTTGGTCAGAGTTACTAATCACCTGTACAAGTGTACTGACCATCATGAATGCAAGGAAATGTGGAGCTCAAAAACTGACACCTCATTGTAGTTGCTGGGTAACCTTCTCACCATGTGAGTGACCAGCCTCCCGCCTGTATGTTGTATCTGTAAGTGTTGTGTCTGTAAGTGTTGTGTTGTGTCTGTAAGTGTTGTGTTGTGTCTGTAAGTGTTGTGTTTGTAAGTGTTGTGTTGTGTCTGTAAGTGTTGTGTTGTGTCTGTAAGTGTTGTGTTGTGTCTGTAAGTGTTGTGTCTGTAAGTGTTGTGTTTGCGAGTGTTATTTCTATGGGTGTTGTTTTGTGTGTATGAATGTTAATTCTATGGGTGTTGTGTGTCTGTGAGTGTTGTATGGTGCGTATGATTGTTATTTCTGTGTGCGTTTTTGAGTCTGTGTGTATGTGTAGTATCTCTTATTTTTTATATGCCTGTTAATATTGTTTGTGTTTGTCATCAGTATGTGCGCCTTTGTGTAAACGGGTCTGTGTATGTGTGTTTGAACGTCTGCCTCGTGAGTATGTCTGCCTCAAGTGTGTCTGCATCGTGTGTGAATGTTTGCATGTATATTTGAAGACATCTATTTGCCATTCATAATTTTGTAATTTTACTTTACATTCATAATCTGAATTTTGATGCATGAACATAGCATGCTGATATAAACCTGACATGCTTGTAGGAACATAATATGCTTGATATATAAAAACAATTGCTGTATGAAAGATGAGTGCTTGAAAGGGCTGAATGTAAGACAGGCCTGCATGCCCAATTTGTAACCCTTGGGAAAGTAAGTTTGTTCATTTGTTCCTTTCAGACTGTTACATTCATACAAATTATGATAACACTTGTCTGAACATATCATTCTCTCGCTACAGATTGGACCCGGCTTTATTGATGCAAGACTAGAAACTGATGCTCCAATATTTCTCAAGAAGAAAGTTAATTTTAAGTAAGTTTCATAAAATACATTCAGTTTGGTTAAGTGAAGCAAATAGGAGAAGGCTCGATACAATGATGCTAAATTGGGAAATCTTATGAGGTCAGCACAGGTCAGAGGAAGTTTGCAAGTAGCATAGGTTATAGGTGAAAGGTCAACTAGGAAACTGCTAGCCAAGCTTAGGATTTCCATGAGAAATGAAGGAAATACAAATAATTTGAAATGAATGTGTAAGAGGTGCTGGGATCAAATCCTGGACCAGCACCCAAAGTTACAGTGTTCTTCCTTTCATCTAGATCAGAACAATTCTGCTGAATTCACTTTATGGTGGTGCCTTTATATTGTCATGTGTGGTTTACTTTTTCCTAAAGTTTTCATGCAGGGATAATTGTTTCACATTAAAGCCACTACTTGTGCACTAACATAGCAACAGTATTATTGAATATTTGTTTCACATTAAATCCACTACTTGTGCACTAACATAGCAACAGTAGTATTAAATAATTGTTTCACATTAAATCCACTACTTGTGCACTAACATAGCAACAGTAGCATTGAATAATTGTTTCACATTAAATCCATTACTTGTGCTCTAACATAGCAACAGTAGTATTGAATAATTGTTTCACATTAAAGCCACTACTTGTGCACTAACATAGCAACAGTATTATTGAATAATTGTTTCACATTAAAGCCACTACTTGTGCACTAACATAGCAACAGTAGTATTGAATAATTGTTTCACATTAAAGCCACTACTTGTGCACTAACATAGCAACAGTATTATTGAATAATTGTTTCACATTAAAGCCACTACTTGTGCACTAACATAGCAACAGTAGTATTGAATAATTGTTTCACATTAAAGCCACTACTTGTGCACTAACATAGCAACAGTAGTATTGGATAATTGTTTCACATTAAAGCCACTACTTGTGCACTAACATAGCAACAGTATTATTGAATAATTGTTTCACATTAAAGCCACTACTTGTGCACTAACATAGCAACAGTAGTATTGGATAATTGTTTCACATTAAAGCCATTACTTGTGCACTAACATAGCAACAGTAGTATTAAATATTTGTTTCACATTAAAGCCACTACTTGTGCACTAACATAGCAACAGTAGTATTGGATAATTGTTTCACATTAAAGCCACTACTTGTGCACTAACATAGCAACAGTAGTATTGGATAATTGTTTCACATTAAAGCAACTACTTGTGCACTAACATAGCAACAGTAGTATTAAATATTTGTTTCACATTAAAGCCACTACTTGTGCACTAACATAGCAACAGTAGTATTAAATAATTGTTTCACATTAAATCCACTACTTGTGCACTAACATAGCAACAGTATTATTGAATAATTGTTTCACATTAAAGCCACTACTTGTGCACTCACATAGCAACAGTGGTATTGAATAATTGTTTCACATTAAAGCCACTACTTGTGCACTAACATAGCAACAGTAGTATTAAATATTTGTTTCACATTAAATCCACTACTTGTGCACTAACATAGCAACAGTATTATTGAATAATTGTTTCACATTAAAGCCACTACTTGTGCACTAACATAGCAACAGTAGTATTGGATAATTGTTTCACATTAAAGCAACTACTTGTGCACTAACATAGCAACAGTAGTATTAAATATTTGTTTCACATTAAAGCCACTACTTGTGCACTAACATAGCAACAGTAGTATTAAATAATTGTTTCACATTAAATCCACTACTTGTGCACTAACATAGCAACAGTATTATTGAATAATTGTTTCACATTAAAGCCACTACTTGTGCACTCACATAGCAACAGTGGTATTGAATAATTGTTTCACATTAAAGCCACTACTTGTGCACTAACATAGCAACAGTAGTATTGAATATTTGTATGATGTCCTTTGACCCCCAGGCCTCCGGACCAGATCACTCACCTGGTGGTGGCCAACAACTTCCTGGTGATGGCCATGAGCAGTAACCTGTTGATGCGCCTTGACCTGGATCACCCAGACGAACCTGATGGTAGGATCTTTGTTCCCTCGTCAGTATTCCTTATGTTTATCTGCCTTGTATCTCCTGTTGGAGCATAGGCCCTCATCCAACTCATGTCAGGTCACATCATTTGTAGACTAGTGACTGGTAGGATTTCAGAGCTAAAGTTTTCTGTTGATTGAGGCAGCGGTCTTATACCACCTGTCCTTAGTCACCCCCTTATAGCATGCATGGTAAGTTACGGTGTTGGCATTGTTTGCATGCCAATGGCCATACATGCTTGTCTTAAATGTTACCTTTGGGGAAATACTAGGAACATGGCATGGCATGACCTTGGATTAAAGAATCAGGGTCACTCCTCATACTTGTGGATAGACTTGTAAATCAGACTTTTCTATCCAGAACCTCTGTGTGTCTGAAAATATTTGGGCGGAAAATTATCCACAGGGAAATAAAACTGCACAAAACTTGGGGGATAATACAACTGAACAAAATTGGCGCGGGGGGGGGGGGGGGGGGGTGGTTTTAATACAACTGCACAAAACTTGGGGGCAATACAACTGCACAAAACTTGAGAGGTAATACAACTGCACACAACTTAGGGGGTAATACAAATACAACTGAACAAAATTGGGGGGGGGGGGAGGGGTGGTAATACAACTGCACAAAACTTGGGATATTACAACTGAACAAATCTTGGGGATAATACAACTGCACAAAACTTGGGGGTAATACAACTGAACAAAACTTGGGAGGTAGTACAGCTGCACAAAATGTGGGGGAATCTGCAAGATCTCAGTTACAGCAACATATGCAAAGCAAGACCACTTGTGATATTACTGGAACAACAAGTGAGAAGATCAGTCGGACTGTCCAACTATGCATTGTTGCTCTGGTCATCATTTTCAGCTCAGCGCACAAACTTCATATCAACAGTGAGGGGGTTTAATGTGTGTACCACAGCAGACTCCATGCACACTGTCATCGTCATCATCATCAAGTAGCTTACTGATGACTGGTGTGTGCGATCAGGCCTCTCCACATCTGCCATCTTCAACAGCATGTACCAGTCCCTAAGTATAACGAATAGAACATAAATCTATGTTTATAACATTGGTTGAACAATTTGTTGGCTCAAGTCAGATACCTAGGGTTCCTGTGGCCCTCTTGAAACTGATGAAATATTTCTGCAGAAGTGGAGCTGCCTCGAGCGGTCGATGACAGCATCCACAAGATATTTCTGGACCCAGCCGGAAGACACCTCATCATTTCCATGAGCTCACAGGATAACCTCTACCTGTCCCGGAACTGGAAGAAGCCAAAGTTGATCACCAAAATGAAGGTTGGCGGCGTTTGCTATTTGTCTTGTTTATTTGTTCTATTTACAATTTTATGTTTGTTTAGACAAAACATTGTTGTATTTTATATGTTGATGTGTGACTTTCAAACTGCTATACTGCTCTTTAACCTACAGACATTTGCTTGTTGTCTGTTCATTTGATATGTCTAAAACCTGTGTAGGAAACATGACCATTCTAGGATTACTTCCAGCCAGTTGATCTGTTCTGAGAAGTGGATGACCTTATTACATATTGATATGCCTGTCTGCAGTTATGAATGTAGTTTCACAACTTGGAAACCTCTCCTGTGTGTGATGACAACTGACCCACAGTTTCCATGGAAACCATGCGTAGCTGCTGGTTTGGGAGCACAGTCTCTACACTAGTCTCATTCTGAGTTCTGCAAATTATTTTCAGAACTGAAAGGCAGTCTTCCCAAAAATCCACCAACCAACTATATCCCTATTAGTTCCCACCAACTACTTGCAGGAAAAGAAACGTGGATAAATATTTGGATTCTGTTTGGTTTTAAACAGCATATATACCACTGAGACGTTGTGAGCTGTAGAAATGACAGACTGTCACAGCTAGAGTCTCTTAGTACACAGAGCAGTGTCGCAAACAACATTGATATCATAAGTACACATGTTTGTTGACTGAAAACTTGTGTGTGGCATGTTCTTCTGTATAAAGATGGCGAGTTTTGGACAATATGTAATCAAATGAATTTAACATTCAACAACATTCAACGTAGAAGTGACTGTTCCATATGAAGCAACAGTCTCCTGCTGTTCTCTGTCATCAGCCAAAGACAAATGTGCCTCCGATCAACTCATGCTGGCCTCTTTGTAGATTTGTTCATAAGTGGTGGGATTTTGCAGCTGAAGGTTTCTGTGGAATCAGATATCCAGTCTTACACCTATCCTTCTTAGTCATCTCTTATTACATGTATGATAGGTTACAGTTACTGTTCTTGCTTCCCTCATGAACCCCAGTAACACAAGGACTGACCTAGAGGTGCTGCTGCCACAGAGTTACTGTTCTTACTTTCCTAATAAACCCTTTTAACACAAGGAATTCTTCTTTCTTCTTCACATTGACCAGCTTTACACTTTGGCGGAGAGTTCTGGTTGTTGGTCCACTTCTGAACTGCAGCCCAGCTCCAGAACCTGGGTGTTGCATGTGCATCAGTTTTACAAATCTGATTCATTTGAATGCAGACTGTTGGTTCCTTGCCTCTCAGGCAGACGCACTCCGACTTCAAAGAAAGCTCCCCAATTAGTCAACTCCTATGACAGGCTTTTGGGTAGGTATTGGGTCAATTCTTGTTTTCCCCACAATGGGGCCCTGGAACCCATTCGGGGATCACAAGGACAGACGTAGAAGTGCTGCTGCCACAGAGTTCCTGTTCTTGCTTCCCTCATGAACCCCAGTAACACAAGGACACGTAGAGGTGCTGCTGCCACACAGATGGAAATAAATGACTCCAGCAGGCAGTCATAAATGTTCTAGAATGGAGCACTGTTATCCATGTGCCTCATTTTTTAAACAGGGTCACCTGATAGAGTCTGTCGGTTGGAACTGGCAAAATACCAGTGATAACACAACTAGTGCTATCTTGTTGGGAACAAGCAAAGGTGAGTTTCCAATGTTTTAACTTGTTACTCTTGTTATGTTGATAAGTAGTTGATGGAACTTGTAGCCGAATGAGCAGTCCTTTGTCTGGTTTTAATGCAGTAACAGAAAAACTAGAAACAGGAATAAAAATATTAGGAAAAAAGAACAGCATAGCTAGATAGCTGTTCTCTGTAAACAGGCAGGGGAACAAGAAACAAGTTACCTAGTTTCTGGAAATCTTGACATCTCATCATCATCATTATTATGAAGCAGGTCTTTGCAGATTATTCCTCCTGTCACAGACTGTCTGTCATTGTGAAGCAGGTCTTTGCAGATTATTCCTCCTGTCACAGACTGTCTGTCATTGTGAAGCAGGTCTTTGCAGAATAATCCTGCTGTCACAAACTGTCTGTCATTGTGAAGCAGGTCTTTGCAGATTAATCCTGCTGTCACAGCCTGTCTGTCATTGTGAAGCAGGTCCTTTGTCGACTGTCACAGCCTGTCTGTCTTTGTAAAGCACATCTTTGCAGATTAATCCTGCTGTCACAGCCTTTCTGTCATTGTGAAGCAGGTCTTTGCAGATTAATCCTGCTGTCACAGCCTGTCTGTCATTGTGAAGGTCTTTGCAGATTAATCCTGCTGTCACAGCCTGTCTGTCATTGTGAAGGTCTTTGCAGATTAATCCTGCTGTCACAGCCTGTCTGTCATTGTGAAGCAGGTCCTTTGTCGACTGTCACAGCCTGTCCGTCATTGTAAAGCACGTCTTTGCAGATTAATCCTGCTGTCACAGCCTTTCTGTCATTGTGAAGCAGGTCTTTGCAGATTAATCCTGCTGTCACAGCCTGTCTGTCATTGTGAAGGTCTTTGCAGATTAATCCTGCTGTCACAGCCTGTCTGTCATTGTGAAGCAGGTCTTTGCAGATTAATCCTGCTGTCACAGCCTGTCTGTCATTGTGAAACAGGTCTTTGCAGATTAATCCTGCTGTCACAGCCTGTCTGTCATTGTGAAGCAGGTCTTTGCAGATTATTCCTCCTGTCACAACCTGTCCGTAAGACTCTCACTTCTGTGCCAGTACTTCTGCCTCGTATGTTTTCATGCCCACACTGTCCCATCTTTTCTGTGTCTATCTTCATGCTAGTCAACCCTTTCCTTGTTTCCTATACAAGAAGTTAAGACTGGCCCAAGTCGTAACCCTTTAAAAATAAATAACGTTGGTTCATTTCTTTGGGGACCATTTTGTCCTTAAACTGTGGTGGCATCTAGTGTGGCTAAAATTTTTCACTTTCCACTAGATGATGCTGTTTGTGATCCAGTTTTCTTTAGTGTTAAAATCTTACAGAATGTCAGCGTTTGTGCTGATCTGAATCCACGATCTTGCAGAGATCTTGTCTTCTCATCTTGAACTACAGAAGTGTGAGAGATTCAGTTGAGGGTATCTATGCAGTTGTAAGTATGGCAACCATTTTTGTTATGTTATCACAGTCGATGTAACAGCACACTGGGCATTCCTATGCATGCACTATCCTCTGATGCAGCAGCCATCCCATGGTACCTCTGTTGATTTGACCCATGAGAAGTTGATTATGTCTCTTATCTTGACCTCGACAATGGCACCGACCTATTTCTGTGCTTTGAGACATGCCAAGATTATGGTGCCACTCTTTAACTTTATGAATCAGATGGCACTAAATGGCTGGTAGGGTCAGTATCACACCAACGACCTTTGCTTTCTAGAACATTTCCTGGGGCCTGTGGGTTAACCAAACACACATCCTAGATGGTTTGACATGAACTGTCTGCTCCTTGATGTTGAAAAAAAAACAGTTAAGATCCCTTTTTACGCCTTTTAGGTGCATCTAGAATATGGGAAGAGCACCCATATTTTTACAGACCAATGGGCACTCGGTGAGTAATGTGTTCAGCATTACGATGGTCGTCTTTACTTCCCCAGGACATACATCCTGGTACCCATTTTGGGCTCGGTCAACCTGTGACGCCCAATATCATGATAAAAATCCATGCAGCCAGCAGTGGGTTTCGATTTCAGTATGTTGGAATTACCAGTCAGACTCGCTGACTCAATCCTTGTTCAATATTCTAATATAACACTGTACAGTTCAACAAGCTGTGTGTGCCAGGGTGTCGTCTTGTTGTTGTCTGACATGGTTCTTTGGAAGCAAGCATTGAGACAAGTATCTTGGTAGTCTTGTATAAAATCTGCTGTGTGAATATTCTGCAGGTCTCATCTTTGAAACAGATCTTGCTGCGTATGAAGACAGTAGGTTTTTTCAAGCCAACATTGAACAGTATTTGAAGCAGGTAGGTTGTCAAATGAAAAGAACATAGAAAACTGGATTGAATTCAATTGTAATAGAATATTTATTTATTGACATGAAAAATAACCAGAATATTGAACTTGAAACATCAGGCAAATCCAGCCACCTGTTGTTTAAGCTGCAATACAAGTTTTGTGAAACAGTTGATGTCATTCTTTTGTCTGCCACCCTAACGTAAAAAGCTACTTTATATACTTTTAGTATTTACTCTTATGTCTTTAGTTGCTGGGTTTTCTGTGGTTTTTTTAGTCTTTCCTATTTTAACAAAGAATATAAGCTACCTTACATAATTTGTTATTCTTTCCTCTGCTCAACTTGGGGATAAAGATGTATCTGAAAATAGTTGTGCTAGACTAATGTAGATTTACAGTAGATGAATAGTATTTGATGTATCTGATATCGGACTGACTGTGTACACATGCATAAAACAAACTGATAACAGTCCATTAAAATTGATTGTTATGTTCCTTGCAAGCGTAAATCTTCCTACAGGCCATACGAGGTGAGTTGATGGAGGCCAGTGTTGAATATGTGTATGTGTGTGTAGCCTGTGCTACTGAAGTTTGTTTATTGATGTTATATGTGGTTTTTCTGTTGCTGAACAAAGTAACTCCCTTCAGCAACTAGAATAATCTGTCTTCCTGGTTTTTGTTGGACAGGTGAGTTGATATTCTAATATTCTACAAATATTTGTTTCAACACTGTCCCCATACTTCTGCATCAGATGTGTAGTATCTGGGTGATGTTTGTTTCAACAATGTCCCTGTACTTCTACATCATATGTAGAGTATCTGGATGATGTTTGTTTCAACAATGTCCCCATACTTCTGCATCATACGTGTTGTATCTGGTTGATTTTTGTTTCTACAATTTCCCTATCTTCTTCTTCTTCTTCACTTCCTCTTTTACTGCTGTGGGTGTCGAGGGAGATTTAAGGTTCTGTCTCTAGCTCTTCTGGCTGCCTCGACCATAGGCACATCGTGCTGTTGTAGAGTTTCTCTGATGTTATCCTTCCATCTTGTTCTTGGTCTACCTCGTGCTCTACGTCCTTCTTCTCTTTCCATGTAGGCTTTGTATGGTATGGTGTCACAAGGCATTCTCTCTAAGTGGGCAAACCATTTCACTTGCTATCTTCGTATGTAATATCCCATTGTGTTTTCTGTAGCGATAATAAATCCATTGCCGGCTTGCTAGGCCTGTCGCAACTTCACCAGAGCCCCGTTGGCCAGGACATTTCGGGGGGACCCAGGGTGGCCTTCATGACTACCGTAGCGGTCCCTTGGCACGAGGCCACACCATACTTCTTTTCCCTATACTTCTACATAATATGTGGAGTATCTGGGTGATGTTTGTTTCAACAATGTCCCCGTACTTCTACATAATATGTGGAGTATCTGGGTGATGTTTGTTTCAACAATGTCCCTGTACTTCTACATAATATGTGGAGTATCTGGGTGATGTTTGTTTCAACAATGTCCCTGTACTTCTACATCATATGTGGAGTATCTGGGTGATGTTTGTTTCAACAATGTCCCTATACTTCTACATCATATGTGGAGTATCTGGGGATGTTTGTTTCAACAATGTCCCCATACTTCTGCATCATATGTGTAGTATCTGGATGATGTTTGTTTCAACACTGTCCCTATACTTCTACATCATATGTGTGGTATCTGGGTGATGTTTGTTTCAACAATGTGCCCGTACTTCTACATCATATGTGTGGTATCTGGGTGATGTTTGTTTCAACAATGTCCCTGTATATCTGCATCATATGTGTTGTATCTGGGTGATGTTTGTTTCAATAATATCCCCGTACTGCTACATCATATGTGTAGTATCTGGGTGATGTTTGTTTCAACAATGCCCCCATACTTCTACATCATATGTGGAGTATCTGGGTGATGTTTGTTTCAACAATGCCCCCATACTTCTACATCATATGTGGAGTATCTGGGTGATGTTTGTTTCAACAATGCCCCCGTACTTCTACATCATATGTGTAGTATCTGGGTGATGTTTGTTTCAACAATGCCCCAGTACTTCTACATCATATGTGTAGTATCTGGGTGATGTTTGTTTCAACAATGCCCCCGTACTGCTACATCATATGTGTAGTTTTTGGGTGATGTTTGTTTCAACACTGTCCCCATACTTCTACATCATATGTGTAGTATCTGGGTGATGTTTGTTTCAACACTGTCCCCATACTTCTACATCATATGTGTAGTGTCTGGGGATGTTTGTTTCAACACTGTCCCCATACTTCTACATCATATGTGTAGTATCTGGGTGATGTTTGTTTCAACACTGTCCCCATACTTCTACATCATATGTGTAGTATCTGGGTGATGTTTGTTTCAACACTGTCCCCATACTTCTACATCATATGTGTAGTGTCTGGGTGATGTTTGTTTCAACACTGTCCCCATACTTCTACATCATATGTGTAGTGTCTGGGGATGTTTGTTTCAACACTGTCCCCATACTTCTACATCATATGTGTAGTTTTTGGGTGATGTTTGTTTCAACACTGTCCCCATACTTCTACATCATATGTGTAGTATCTGGGTGATGTTTGTTTCAACACTGTCCCCATACTTCTACATCATATGTGTAGTGTCTGGGTGATGTTTGTTTCAACACTGTCCCCATACTTCTACATCATGTGTGTAGTATCTGGGTGATGTTTGTTTCAACAATGCCCCCGTACTGCTACATCATATGTGTAGTTTTTGGGTGATGTTTGTTTCAACACTGTCCCCATACTTCTACATCATATGTGTAGTATCTGGGTGATGTTTGTTTCAACACTGTCCCCATACTTCTACATCATATGTGTAGTGTCTGGGGATGTTTGTTTCAACACTGTCCCCATACTTCTACATCATATGTGTAGTATCTGGGTGATGTTTGTTTCAACACTGTCCCCATACTTCTACATCATATGTGTAGTGTCTGGGGATGTTTGTTTCAACACTGTCCCCATACTTCTACATCATATGTGTAGTATCTGGGTGATGTTTGTTTCAACACTGTCCCCATACTTCTACATCATATGTGTAGTATCTGGGTGATGTTTGTTTTAGCAATGCCCCCGTACTTCTACATCATATGTGAAGTATCTGGGTGATGTTTGTTTTAACAATGCCCCCATACTTCTACATCATATGTGTAGTATCTGGGTGATGTTTGTTTCAACAGTGCCCCCATACTTCTACATCATATGTGTAGTGTCTGGGTGCAGTAGCTGCTCTCTGTTAGTGTCATTCTTACTCCATTTGTGTTTTCCAGTTAGTGCACAGTCATTCATGTCAGGTTTGCTTGTAGTGGATGTCTGAAAAGTAGGTGAAGTGTGTCTGTCAGAGACTGATTTGTCTCCATGGTAGTGCATAGATAGCCTGACTGCATGGAGGTTACAGGAGGTCTTCTGATGGTTTCTAGATTTATTGTATGCTCTGTTAATTTTGGAGATCTGTGTTGGAGATTTAAAAAAAAAAAGTCATGTTTCTGAACCGTTTTATATCTCTTCTTTCCCACTTCCTTTCCCTGAACATATTTATTTGATACTCTACAAGGTTTCTCATTGGCTTTGATCTGTCCCTGTCTGTAAATAATAACAGGAAAGCAAGTCTGTTGGCCAAGTTCCTCTACAGTTCTAGAGGATGAAAAGAAGGAATACGAAAGAGAATGAGTTCTTATATCCCAGGTTTTAAAATAAATGAGGAATGACAAGAGGGACTTTGAGGGTAGTGATTATGGCATTGCCACTATCAGAAAACAAGGAGAAAGAGTATGTCTGAACAGTTATTAGTTTGTGAACTGTGTTTATGTACATGAGAGATATCATTAGTTGTTGCCGTACATTTTTGCTGTTACTTCTAGATTTTGTGTTTGTAGCATTTGGAGTATCCCTGTAGCTTGCTTTAGTGCTATACTTTCATAGTTTGCATTTAATGTTGTCTAGTGATCCATGTATGCTTTGTGACCTCCTTACTGGGGTAAAGACTGATTGTGAGACTTTTAAAATGGTGTAACAATTTGTGTTTCAGTTTATCAGATTGAGAAAGGGGAGAAAATGAGAGAGAGAGAGAGAGAGAGAGAGAGAGAGAGAGAGAGAGAGAGAGAGAGATAGAGAGAGAGAGAGAGAGAGAGAGAGAGAGAGAGAGAGAGAGAGAGAGAGAGAGATAGAGAGAGAGAGAGAGAGAGAGAGAGAGAGAGAGAGAGCAGGAGAGAGAGAGAGCACAGCACCAACAGAACTCTGCATCAAGTGCATCCAAAAGTCTCAGTGAAATGTCTTCACTGATTGGTTGGCTTTGGTGATGAGAGCAGCTGCAGAGTTTTCAACATGAAATAAGAAAACAATTGATGTTAGATTCTTCTTCACACTTCCATGTATGATATGTGTTTGTGTGGTTGATTCATGCTGTGTTTATCAGTGAACAAGTTCACTTTCACTGCTATTCAAATGTAACCACATTGATTGTTAGGAATATATTTTCTTGAATGTTCTGATGTCTGTTTATGTAAACCTAGTTTCTTAGTTATGTACTTTGTTGAAAGTTCTGTTGTCAGCTTATGTACACCTAGTTTCTTAGTTATGTACTTTGTTGAAAGTTCTGTTGTCAGCTTATGTACACCTAGTTTCTTAGTTATGTACTTTGTTGAAAGTTCTGTTGTCAGCTTATGTACACCTAGTTTCTTAGTTATGTACTTTGTTGAAAGTTCTGTTGTCAGCTTATGTACACCTTCATAGCTTCAGCACATATATGTGTCATGTTTTAGAAGCAGCAAAATTGCATGTCTTATTGTCTTTCTTTTTGCTGGATTTTGTTGTTGTTCATAGACTTTACTTGAGTTCATATGCTTCTTACATGTTGTTTTCCCTGATGTTGCAGTATATTTATAATTTATTGCCACACAAAACATCTATGTGAAGTTTTACAAACATTTAATCTATCATAGTATTAAATCATAACAGTTCAAGCCAGTCATAAATCAGTTTTCAAAAGTATTTGGTGCAGGGCAGTGATGATATTTGATACAGTGCGATGAGGGTATTTGCTGCAGGGCAACATTGATATTTGCTGCCGGACAATAGTGATATTTGATACAGTGCAATGAGGTTATTTGCTGCATTGCAACAATGATATATGCTGCCGAACAATACTGATATTTGATACAGTGCAATGAAAGTATTTGCTACAGTGCAACAATGATATTTGCTGCAGGACAGTAGTGATATTTGATACAGTGCAATGAAAGTATTTGCTACAGTGCAACAATGACATTTGCTGCAGGACAGTAGTGATATTTGATACAGTGCAATGAAAGTATTTGCTACATTGCAACAATGATATTTGCTGCAGTGCAATGAGGGTGTTTGCTGCAGGACAATAGTCTTCTTCTTCTTCGCGTTCACCAGCTGTACACTCCGGCGGAAAGTTCTGGTTGTTCGTCCACTACTGAACTGCAGTCCTGCTCCAGAACCTGAGTGTTGCGTGTGCATCAGTTTTACAGATCCCATTCTCTTGAATACAGACTGTTGGTTCCTTGCCTCTCCGGCAGATACACTCCGACTTCAAAGGAAGCTCCCCAATTAGTCGACTCTTACAACATGCTTTTGGGGAGGCAGTGGGTCTATTCTTGTTTTCCCCACTAATGGGGCCCCGGAACCCACACAGGGGAGGACAATAGTGATATTTGAGACAGTGCAATGAGGGTGTTTGCTGCAGGGCAATGATGATATTTGATACAGTGCAACAATGATATTTGCTGCAATAGCAATGCAATGATTATATTTGCTGCAGTGCAAAGATAATATTTGGTGCAGTTCAGTGATGATACTTTGTCACTTCTAAGAATGCCTTTATGTATTGATTAACAGTTGATACTGTGTAATGTACCATGCTGATATTATTCTGGTGATATCATGTAGTATGTAATGAGGTGTGTATTATGTAATGATTGACCTCCTGCAGCAGTGTCTGATTCAGGCTAGATGACAGCGATGATACTGGTGTCCAGTTAATATCTGGTTTGTGTGTTTGCTTCACAGTTGTTTAGACTCCAGGGAAAGGACAAGCCGGAGCCAGTGACTGGGCTGGAGTTTGACCGCATGCCACACGTGGACATGAACATGTACAAATATTACATCCTAGCTACCACCCCGGGGTAAGTTCATTATTCCTTCACTATCCCAACATCCTAGCTACCACCCCTGGGTGAGTTCATTCTTTCTTCACTATCCCAACATCCTAGCTACCACCCCTGAGTAAGTTCATTCTTTCTTCACTGTCCCAACATCCTAGCTACCACCCCTGGGTAAGGTCATTCTTTCTTCACTATCCCAACATCCTAGCTACCACCCCTGGGTAAGTTCATTCTTTCTTCACTGTCCCAACATCCTAACTTGCACCCCTGAGTAAGTTCATTCTTTCTTCACTGTCCCAACATCCTAGCTGCCACCCCTGGGTAAGTTCATTTTTTCTTTACTATCCCAACATCCTATCTGCCACCCCTGGGTAAGTTCATTCTTTCTTCACTCTCCCAACATCCTAACTTGCACCCCTGGGTAAGTTCATTCTTTCTTCACTGTCCCAACATCCTAACTTGCACCCCTGGGTAAGTTCATTCTTTCTTAACTGTTCTAACATCCTAGCTACCACCCCCGGGTGAGTTAATTCTTTCTTCACTATCCCAACATCCTAGCTACCACCCCAGGTAAGTTCATTCTTTCTTCACTGTCCCAACATCCTAGCTACCACCCCTGGGTAAGTTCATTCCTTCTTCACTGTCCCAACATCCTAACTTGCACCCCTGGGTAAGTTAATTCTTTCTTCACTGTCCCAACATCCTAGCTACCACCCCTGGGTAAGTTCATTCTTTCTTCACTATCCCAACATCCTAGCTACCACCCCAGGTAAGTTAATTCTTTCTTCACTGTCCCAACATCCTAGCTACCACCCCTGGGTAAGTTTATTCTTTCTTCACTGTCCCAACATCCTAGCTACCACCCCTGGGTAAGTTCATTCTTTCTTCTGTCCCAACATCCTAACTTGCACCCCTGGGTAAGTTCATTCTTTCTTCACTGTCCCAACATCCTAGCTACCATCCCTGGGTAAGTTCATTCTTTCTTCACTATCCTAACATCCTAGCTACCACCCCTGGGTAAGTTAATTCTTTCTTCACTGTCCCAACATCCTAGCTACCACCCCTGGGTAAGTTCATTCTTTCTTCACTATCCCAACATCCTAGCTACCACCCCTGGGTAAGTTCATTCTTTCTTCACTGTCCCAACATCCTAACTTGCACCCCTGGGTAAGTTCATTCTTTCTTCACTGTCCCAACATCCTAACTTGCACCCCTGGGTAAGTTCATTCTTTCTTCACTGTCCCAACATCCTAGCTACCACCCCTGGGTAAGTTCATTCTTTCTTCACTATCCCAACATCCTAGCTACCACCCCTGGGTAAGTTCATTCTTTCTTCACTGTCCCAACATCCTAGCTACCACCCCTGGGTAAGTTCATTCTTTCTTCACTATCCCAACATCCTAGCTACCACCCCTGGGTAAGTTTATTCTTTCTTCACTGTCCCAACATCCTAGCTACCACCCCTGGGTAAGTTCATTCTTTCTTCACTATCCCAACATCCTAGCTACCATCCCAGGGTAAGTTCATTCTTTCTTCACTATCCCAACATCCTAGCTACCACTCCGGGTAAGTTCATTCTTTCTTCACTATCCCAACATCCTAGCTACCACCCCTGGGTAAGTTCATTCTTTCTTCACTATCCCAACATCCTAGCTACCACCCCTGGGTAAGTTCATTCTTTCTTCACTATCCCAACATCCTAGCTACCACCCCTGGGTAAGTTTATTCTTTTTTTCACTGTCCCAACATCCTAGCTACCACCCCAGGTAAGTTTATTCTTTTTTTCACTGTCCCAACATCCTAGCTACCACCCCAGGTAAGTTAATTCTTTCTTCACTGTCCCAACATCCTAGCTACTGGGTAAGTTTATTCTTTCTTCACTGTCCCAACATCCTACCTACCACCCCTGGGTTAGTTAATTCTTTTTTTTCACTATTCATAGCTACAACTTCTGGGTAAGTTTATTCTTCCTTCACTATCCCAACATCCTAGCTACCACCCCTGATTTAGTTAATTCTTTTTTTCACTATCCCTAGCTACAACTTCTGGGTAAGTTTATTCTTCCTTCACTATCCCAACATCTTGGTTACAAAAAGGAGAAAAATGTAATACATTGTGACACTTGGAAATATTTATATCGAGATAGATGAAGAGAAGACAAATTTTAAATAGCATTTTATAATGTCATAGAATAGTTTCTGATGCAGGCTGTTGTTCTCATTCAGTTTTCCAGTCACCATGCTTGTAATATTTTCTGTTTTTTTTTTTCTTGTCTTCTTCGTCCTGTTTACTTAATTAACTGTATTTCTGAAGCTTCAGTTTTTCCTTCTCATTATTTATTCATTGTCTGCACACATATGCTACATAATTATTAATGAAATATTTTTCATCTCCATAATTCTAATTTGCAACTAATAAGTGTGCATGTTGAGAAAACATTGTCAGCTGTTTTTGGTAACTTTACAGGAGACTGTACCAGTTCATAGGTCAAGTGTCACAGGTCTCAGAGCCTCCGATGTTTTTGTCATTGTTCCAGCAGTACGAGACAGGCACAGGTTGGTATCTTTATCAATGATTGCCTGCTGATATTTGTGCATCCGTATGTTGCTAGGGTCGATAAAGCTGCCTGCTGATATTTGTACATCCGTGTGTTGCTAGGGTTGATAAAGCTGCCTGCTGATATTTGTACATCCGTGTGTTGCTAGGGTCGATAAAGCTGCCTGCTGATATTTGTGCATCCCTGTGTTGCTGGGGTCGATAAAGCTGCCTGCCGATATTTGTACATCCCTGTGTTGCTAGGGTCGATAAAGCTGCCTGCTGATATTTGTGCATCCATGTGTTGCTAGGGTCTATAAAGCTGCCTGCTGATATTTGTGCATCCGTGTGTTGCTAGGGTTGATAAAGCTGCCTGCTGATATTTGTGCATCCGTGTGTTGCTAGAGTCGATAAAGCTGCCTGCTGATATTTGTACATCCGTGTGTTGCTAGGGTCGATAAAGCTGCCTGCTGATATTTGTGCATCCGTGTGTTGCTAGGGTCGATAAAGCAAGGACTTAACTAAACATAATGCTATAAAAAGTAACTTTCCAGGGATGGCAAATGATCGGCCACTTTATTTGCTTAGGATTCTTTAGCTGCGAGGTTCACCCAAGAATGAACAGGTCAACAAAAGGCTTGGTGTGAGTGGCTTGAGAGACTGTACTCTGTTGAGAGATGAAGGTTTGGTGTGAGTGGCTGGAGAGACTGTACTCTGTTGAGAGATGAAGGCTTGGTGTGAGTGGCTTGAGAGACTGTACTCTGTTGAGAGATGAAGGCTTGGTGTGAGTGGCTGGAGAGACTGTACTCTGTTGAGAGATGAAGGTTTGGTGTGAGTGGCTGGAGAGACTGTACTCTGTTGAGAGATGAAGGTTTGGTGTGAGTGGCTTGAGAGACTGTACTCTGTTGAGAGATGAAGGCTTGGTGTGAGTGGCTGGAGAGACTGTACTCTGTTGAGAGATGAAGGCTTGGTGTGAGTGGCTGGAGAGACTGTACTCTGTTGAGAGATGAAGGTTTGGTGTGAGTGGCTGGAGAGACTGTACTCTGTTGAGAGATGAAGGAGGAATAAGAGGATGAAGATGTGATGATGAAGAAGTAGTTAGAATGTAGGAACAAGGAATTAGGTGTGGTTCTGCCAAGAAGGGAGGTGTCAGATCAAGAGAACAAAGTGTGTGTAATCAGTGAGCTAAAGGGAACCGTTAGCATCTACACCTTCAGGCATTTGCTGCCAGCGACTGAGCTTCTATGGGTATACTCGCCATGCTTTGATGTTGATTGTTAAATCAGTAAACAGAATGAATGAACAATCATTATAATATCAAAGGGTCACAAATTTGGCATACAGAAGAAGGCGTAGAGGAATTGCTTATGAGTTAGATCTCTTTACACTACAGTTTGTAACAAGATGGAATACTTGTATTTTGTTAACTTTTACAAATATTTGATAAGTCTTCTCTAGTTGATAACAAACTTAGCGTTATTTTGGGTGGTTTCCCACAGCTTTATGTTTACAAATCTTATCTCATTCTTTCCCCAGAGCATCCCCAGTTTCTAGAGCTCCCTGGCGACTTTGGCTATAGCGAGTTGCATCTGTTCTTTCCCAAGTTCCGACAGCAGGCAACCAAGTTTGCTTGGATGGCAGGTAATTATGGCATGCTGATTTGTTTGTAATTGTGTTGCTTATTGTTACTATAGACAGGCTTTTGGTTTTATATTCTTGTGTAATGCAAGCTCAGTTTTAGTGTGGGGTATCATAACAGGCACACCCATTGGTGCTGTAGTCTATCAGTGGTAGACAGAAGGCGTCATTTCCTGTGTTCTGGCACTGGTTATATGTTCCAGGGTTTCTTTCTTTACACAGTAGCATAAAAACTACACAAAGTTAGTTGTGTTTCCTTCACAGGACATTACAAACCAGCCAGACGACATTTGTTGGCTGCTAATGGTTTTACTAGGCCATTTTGCATTCAGTAGTTTGCCATTTGCAAGTAAGATTGGCTGGTAAACAGCATCTTGTCTCAAATACCGAAATATTGTAGCCATATCAAGCAACATGGCATATTGACAAGAATAATAGCAGAAGATCTGGTACCAGGGAAGAGTTGCAGGGGCTGACCAGCATAAAGATGAGTACAGACAGGATGTAAGAGACACATTGGGTAGGAAAGTGCATGAGGTGGGAGATCTGGCAAGAGGCTTTTTTTTTTAGGCAGACTAGAATGAGAGCTACATTCTGCAATAGACCTGTTTCATGATGATGGGTTTGCCATTGCTTTCTGCATGGTCAATCTTCAGTACCATTGACAGAATGAACATATCTGCAGTTGAATCAAACTAGGTTATCTCCTAGTTATCAGCCATGTTCGTAACCCCTAAGCCACAGACACTGACCTAAGCCAGTCTATTTAATTAACCCTTAGTGCTTCTAGGGTAAAAGAACTTGTGGTAATTTCATTAAATTTATTGAAAAATCATTTAGTTATACACAGATATACACACACGTACGCACGTACGCACATACACACATACCTTGATTTACCAAACAGGTATTAATTAAATGTCTCCTGTCGAATCAAACCGTCGGAGTCTGTGGCTTAGCCGTTGCGAACGCGCTTTGTAATTGACGGGGTGCCAGGTTCGATCCTTGCTGCAGATGGTTTGTCTTGCACTGGTTTCGACAGTGGTGCTGAGCGCCGACCATCCAGAAAGCAGTGGCAAACTACTGGACTTAAATTTGCCTAGAAAAACCACAATAGCCAGAAACTGCTGGGGTTGGTTCTGCAACGTCCTGTAAAAAAGAATCAAACCTCTGACAACTGTCCTGACTGTAAATCTTGGCTATCTGTACCACTGTTTGTGTGTTTTGATTGGTGCCATTGTTTGTGTGCTTTGATTTGTGCCATTGTTTGTGTGTTTTGATTGGTGCCATTGTTTGTGTGCTTTGATTGGTGCCATTGTTTGTGTGTTTTGATTGGTGCCATTGTTTGTGTGTTTTGATTGGTGCCATTGTTTGTGTGCTTTGATTGGTGCCATTGTTTGTGTGCTTTGATTGGTGCCATTGTTTGTGTGCTTTGATTGGTGCCATTGTTTGTGTGCTTTGATTGGTGCCATTGTTTGTGTGTTTTGATTGGTGCCATTGTTTGTGTGTTTTGATTGGTACCATTGTTTGTGTGCTTTGGTTGGTGCCATTGTTTGTGTGTTTTGATTGGTGCCATTGTTTGTGTGTTTTGATTGGTGCCATTGTTTGTGTGCTTTGATTGGTGCCATTGTTTGTGTGCTTTGATTGGTGCCATTGTTTGTGTGCTTTGATTGGTGCCATTGTTTGTGTGTTTTGATTGGTGCCATTGTTTGTGTGTTTTGATTGGTGCCATTGTTTGTGTGTTTTGATTGGTGCCATTGTTTGTGTGTTTTGATTGGTCATCTGATTTCTGCATACATATCCTTACTCACACAGGACCTGGCATTTACTATGGGGATATCAACGTAAAAGGTTCAGCCGGCCCAAATTCTGTCCTGGCCAATGCCAAGTTACTGCCGTATCCTTTCATGCTACGTAATCACTGTTACATTTTTTCTGAGAGAACAGCAGATAATGTTGTAGGAGCATGGTCGTTTAGACATTTGTTTATTAATAAAATGAGTGTTGCTGTGTGAAGTGGATGGAATACAGCATCATACGTAGCTGTAATGCTGTGGTAAGAATCAGTGGCATGTTTTGTTTTGTTTGCCTGGCTGAGAATTGTTCCTGAACTAAAGTTTAGGTACATGAAAGATGATGACAAGGCAGATAGGCCACTGTCCATGGTGCTCACAGAATTTCACATGCTGGTTCTCTACCCTGGCAGGTCAGTGTGTTTGTCTCTGGTTACAGCTGTTTTATCATTTTAACTCATTTCTTTTCATCTTCTTCACTTACTCTTTTACCGCTTTGGGTGTCGAGGAGGATGTAAGGTTCTGCTCTCACTCTTCTGGCCGCCTCAACCATGGACACATTGTGCACTTATAGAATTTCTCTGATGTTTATATTTCATCTTGTTCTTTGCACCCAATGATGGAAGTGAACCATTTGTGAAACAGTGTTGCTAACCTCTGAGCCACAGGGTTGTACATTTTGTTCCTGCAGCTGATTACAAACCTCACAATTCTCACCGCAGTTATATGTGTATTTAACACATTTCTTGAAGTATGGGATAATCTTATGTGGTTGTTATTTTGTGTGTTGAATTAAATTCTTACATAATGGTAGTATTTTTTGTTTAGGATTACATATGATATATCATACATGCTAGTGATATATTATTTTGTGTATTATACAGAATTACATCATATATGTTCTGACATGAGAATGTAATGTAATAATATACGATGATGATATCTGTCATGATGTTGCCTCACATTGTGATGATAACAACATGAGGATCAGGCAGTCAGGTCATCGAAGTTCCAACTCCATAGCCAGCTAGTCACCTCACATTGTGATGATGATAACATGAGGATCAGGTAGTCAGGTCATCGAAGTTCCAACTTCATAGCCAGCGAGTCACCTCATAGCTGCTCTTTTGCCAAAGAAAACCACACAGAATGCCCACTATTGTCCCTTATGGAGGGAAACAAGAGGACCTCATAGACTGCAGACTCAGCAAATCTTGTAGTATATACCAACATTGAATTCACAAGCATTTACTGAATCTACAGTTCACATCACAAACCATGTTGTGCACATTCAAAAAGCATTTCAAATGAAATCCACAGCTCACAGTGTTGCGCCATGCACTCAGCTCCTTTCAGTCTACAAATGGAATAAACTGCAACAGCTAACTATTGCCAGAAACAACAACTTGCCTCTGATAAAAACAGTAAACCTGCCTATCCTTCATATTGACTGGAAGTCATAAAATAAGGATGTTATGGTATATTGTTCATGCTATGCCAAAGTCCCTTAATGGCCAAATACTTGTTTCAGAAAATTTGACTGTGAACATTGAATGGCAAATGAAAATTGTGTAGGTGCATGAAAGTAATACTTCATTTTGACCAGTCTGGAGTGAGAATTCATAGCTGCATCTGTGGCATATAATGTTTGTTAGTTAGTCGACAGATTATCCTCATTGCATGTCGAACCACTCAGTCCATAAGTGCTCGGATCCCCTGCTCATAGTGCCAGCTGTTATGATGATGACATCTGACATTAAGTCTTCTTCTTCTTCGCCTTCACTAGCTGTAGACTCCGGGGGAAAGTTCTGGTTGTTCATCCACGTCTGGACTTTAGTCGTGTTCCAGAACCTGTATGTGCATCTGTTTGACAAATCTGACTCATTTGTATGCAGACTGCTGGTTCCTCACATCTCAGGCAGATACACTCTGAATTTTAAGGAAGCTCCCAGTTAGTCTACTGTAAGGACATGCTTTTTGGCAGGCAGCAGGTCCATTCTTGTTTTCCCATTATTCTTAGAACCCACACGGGGAGACGTAATGTATTATGTTATCTTACAGCGTCCGCCTCTACGGGTTATTGGTTGCTAACACCCTTCCTGTTTTTGAGGTGCTGGTTCGATACCTTGCGTTGGTTTCGACAGTGGTTGAGAGCCAACCATTCAGGAGGTAGTGGCAGATTAGTGAACATAACTTTGCCTAGTAAAATCACAAACAGCCAAACAAACATTGGGCTTGCTTCTGCAGCATCCTGTAAAAAACACACAACTTTAAAAAGAAAGAAACAAATCTGATAATATGATGGTGATATCTGACCTGATGCGTTGTATTCTCTTTAGCATGAAGGCACTCTGCTCACTCAACGAGGAGTTGGTCTATGATGATCAGTATCCTGATGTGAGTATCTCTTGGTTTATTTGCTTGCTCTGCTAAGGTTAAAGGTGTCATAATCAACTTTATTGCATCGGTTTTTTGTGTGTATGTCTCAGTTTCTGACCAAAGAACGGCTAGCTACCTGCTGAGTGTCACACAAAGCATGAACTCTGTAGCTCCAGCGATGATCTCCAAGTGTCTCCATAAAAATTGCCTGCATGAACCGAATGCCACAGCCGTGAAATAAACCACGACCTTCAGAGCATGAGGCAAACGGCTTGACCACTTTACCATGGAAACACCTTGTTGCTGTGTGGCTGTAGCATGCACCTGGAAACATAGTTTGTATCAATGGATGAATTAATCAATCTATGAAGAACTGATATCACTGCATTCAGGGCACTACAACAGGTGCTATATCTGCTCTCTGCTCTTCCTCACCAGCCAATGATATCACTGCACTCAGGGCACTCCAACAGGTGCTATATCTGCTCTCTGCTTCCTTACCAGCCAATGATATCACTGCACTCAGGGCACTCCAACAGGTGCTATATCTGCTCTCTGCTTCCTTACTAGCCAATGATATCACTGCACTCAGGGCACTCCAACAGGTGCTGTATCTGCTCTCTGCTCCCTTACCAGCCAATGATATCACTGCACACAGGGCACTCCAACAGGTGCTATATCTGCTCTCTGCTTCCTTACCAGCCAATGATATCACTGCACTCAGGGCACTCCAACAGGTGCTGTATCTGCTCTCTGCTCCCTTACCAGCCAATGATATCACTGCACACAGGGCACTCCAACAGGTGCTATATCTGCTCTCTGCTTCCTTACCAGCCAATGATATCACTGCACTCAGGGCACTCCAACAGGTGCTGTATCTGCTCTCTGCTTCCTTACCAGCCAATGATATCACTGCACTCAGGGCACTCCAACAGGTGCTGTATCTGCTCTCTGCTTCCTTACCAGCCAATGATATCACTGCACTCAGGGCACTCCAACAGGTGCTGTATCTGCTCTCTGCTCCCTTACCAGCCAATGATATCACTTCACTCAGGGCACTCCAACAGGTGCTATATCTGCTCTCTGCTTCCTCACCAGCCAATGATATCACTGCACACAGGGCACTCCAACAGGTGCTGTATCTGCTCTCTGCTCTTCCTCACCAGCTATTGAAAAGTTCCCATACTGATAATGCCAAATTAAACCTGATTTAAATTCCATCTGCCATTTCCCCTGATCAGGGAAATCTGCTCAGACCCTCTCCTCACCACCTAGGCCCCCCACCCCCCCCCCCCCCCCAAAAAAAAAATTCCATCTTCTTAGATATGTAAACTATCCACTTAATTCCGGAGAGAATTAACTATATCTGCTGTAGTAAAGAGTAGTTTACCACCCAGATGAGCGGCAGGAGCCAGTCTGTGAGCCTCCTGATAACCCTGCACACCCGGGGTATACTTTGAAAAGATGTATATGCATGTAGACAGGGAGATGCAGCGAGAGAGAAAAGATGCATAAGCATGTAGACAGGGAGATGCAGCGAGAGTGAAAAGATGCATAAGCATGTAGACAGGGAGATGTAGCGAGAGAGAAAAGATTGTGACAGAGACACAATACAGAAAGATAACATGGGGCTCAAGACAGCTGTCTGAAATATATTGTGACTCAGTGACAATAAATTAGGCGGGGGGGGGGGGGGGGGGGGGGGGGAATACCACAGTTAAGGATAACTGAGATAAGTGAGATAAATAGATAAACAATGTGCATCAGGATTGATTATTTTACCAGTGAGAGGGAAAATAATAGAAAGGACTTAGATATAAACAGAAAGAAAGAATGATGTAATGTGGGCGTCCCCATGAAGCTGTCACATATGTCTCCATCAGTAAGTCACAGTCACGTCTGAAGTCACTGATATGAATTTCCAAAGTGCCTGTAGCTTTCATAGCTTTGTGTAATTCTGTTCTCTTCTTTTTAAATGTTTATGACAGCCACCATCACACCAAGCGATAAACACCCGGTGACACAGAGTGCCACCACTCGGGTGAGAATCCAGAAAGGATCCATAGGGTGGTTTAACCCATAGCCACCGTTAACTTATGGCCCCAGGCAACAGCCAGGGTGGAGCTTCAAAATAATGAAAAATTGTGTCGCACATGGGGACGAATGTGTGAATTTATCAATCCATATCTTTTACAGTATGACATCAAATATGGTTTCATGTTTTGGCAAGAGTGTTTGCAAATGGTCATATAAGAATGTTTCAGATTTAGTGTCATGGGAAGTGCAGCTGCTACAGGGTTTAGATGCAGTGTCCTAGAATTGGCTGAAAACAATTGGTGAGAAAAGTCACTGGTCACCCCGGCACATGATGCCATGGCCTAGAATATGTTCCGACTTCACTCCCCCCACATGCATAGGGTTGTGTTCTTGTGTGCCTGTGAACATCCTTTGATCCAAGTTGATGATTTCCTGTTCTTTCAGAGGGTTGGTGCGCTGAAAGGCATCTGCAAGGATGTCATCAAGGGAACCATATGGACGTACACACCCAGCTCTGTGTTCAAGTATAAGGTGACAAAGGAGGACAGGTAATGCCAGCAGGTGATCTGACTCAGTCTTAGGTATATTTGTATATGCTATGTTGTTTTGTCAGCAAGTGATCTGACTTAGTTCTAGACATACTTGTATAGACTAGATTGTTTTATAACAGACCTGAGACTAACCAGAATGAATGAGTGCAATTTAAAAGACACACGAATGTTTCAATACAGTGTTACACTAATTATTTAATACAGTAATAGGGCACAACAATGTCTGAATACAATGTTCAGAGATAGGAATGATTGAATACAATGTTCAGAGATAGGAATGATTGAATACAATGTTCAGAGATAAGAATGATTGAATACAATGTTCAGAGATAGGAATGATTGAATACAATGTTCAGAGATAGGAATGATTGAATACAATGTTCAGAGATAGGAATGATTGAATACAATGTTCAGAGATAGGAATGATTGAATACAATGTTCAGAGATAGAAATGATTGAATACAATGTTCAGAGAAGGAGTGATTGAATACAATCTCAAGTAATAATAGTGTTTGAATACTACTTCTTGACTTCTTCGAGTTACTTTAGGGAGAAAGGGGAAAAGGGGGGGGGGGAGTGGTGGTTTCTGTGCACATGCACACATGCACCCATACTTCCTAAATTCATTTTCTACCGATGGGCATCATATTTAATAATATCATACTAATCCTCAGAACACTTTCTTCACATTTGTACACATTTATAATGCTTTTTAACGCATATTTAACATAATCTCCATGAAATTGAACAGTTTTTTGTTGTTGTTGAGTGATGTTTGCTTTGCCATCTTTGAATAAAATCTATGCATACAGGATTAATTTCATACAATCTTAGGATAGAGGATTAATTTTATACAATCTCAGGATAGAGGATTAATTTATACAATCTCAGGATAGAGGATTAATTGTATAGAATCTCAGAATACGGGATTAATTTTATACAATCTTAGGATAAGAGGATTAATGTTATACAATCTCAGGATACAGGATTACTTTAATACAATCTCAGGATAGAGGATTAATTTATACAATCTCAGGATACAGGATTAATTGTATACAATCTCAGAATACGGGATTAATTTTATACAATCTCAGGATAGAGGATTAATTTTATACAATCTCAGGATAGAGGATTAATTTTATACAATCTCAGGATAGAGGATTAATTTAATACAATCTCAGGATAGAGGATTAATTTCATACAATCTCAGGATACAGGATTAATTTTATACAATCTCAGAATACAGGATTAATTTTATACAATCTCAGGATACAGGTTTAATTTTATACAATCTCAGAATAGAGGATTAATTTAATGCAGTCTCAGGATACAGGAATAATTTTTTACAATCTCAAGATACAGGATTAATTTAACACACTCTCGATACAGGAATAATTTACTTTAATACAGTCTCAGGATACAGGATTAATTTTATACAATCTCAGGATAGAGGCTTAATTTAATACAATCTCCATAAAATAAAACATTGCATTTGAGAGGATTTACTTTTTTGCGCCAGTCATCCCACACAGCTTGATCTTTTTCATACAAAGATGAACACCAAAGCTCCAGCAACAGTCCCCTATGGATGTCCATCCATAAAAAACTTTGCTCATGAACTGAACATAAAAACTTATGAACTGAACATAAAAATTTTACTCATGAACTGAAGATGAAAACTTTACTTATGAACTGAACATAAAAACTGTGCTCATGAATTGAACATAAACACTTTACTCATGAACTGAATAAAAAACTTTACTCATGAACTGAAGATAAAAACTTTACTTTTCTCATGAACTGAACACAGAAACTTTACTTATGAACCGAACATGAACACTTTGCTCATGAGCTGAACATAAAAACCTCTCCATTAACTGAACATAAAAACTTTACTTATGAACTGAACAACACATCTTATGAAATGAAACCACAGTCTTCAGAGCATGAGGCAAACACTTTGACCAGTTTGGCATGAAGACCCCCAGATCTCTGCACCAGAGAGGAGTGTAGCACAGACAGTTTGACATGAAGACCCCCAGATCTCTGCACCAGAGAGGAGTGGAGCACAGACAGTTTGGCATGAAGACCCCCAGATCTCTGCACCAGAGAGGAGTGGAGCACAGACAGTTTGGCATGAAGACCCCCAGATCTCTGCACCAGAGAGGAGTGGAGCACAGACAGTTTGGCATGAAGACCCCCAGATCTCTTCACCAGAGAGGAGTGGAGCCAGACAGAAGAATAAGGACCATGTACCTTGACAAGGGAGAGTTTGAAATGGCCAAAGAATATTGCAAGGTACATCCATGTTATGCACACTCCATCACTTTTCTCAAATTGCAAATGTCTTCTGTTTAAAAATCAAAATTTTCTATAAAACCTGTTTTTTTGTATAACTGACTGAATCTGTGAATATGAAAGAAGCCAGTAAGAGTTAGGAGGCATCAGAGATGCTGTTGTTTAGGTAAATGTTGCCACTACTTGAATACTCAGGGTAATTAACTCTGGTTGCACTGTATCAGTGCAGGCCAGGCAACCACAGTTATCTCCACCTGTCCTAGTAGATGCTTGTGCATGTTTGTGATTTGAGTATGTATGATGGTGGTGTGTGTGTGTGAGTGCATGCGAGAGAGAGAGAGAGAGATTGTGCACATGGATATGTAAGTGTGTTTGTATGAATGTGGACATATAAGTGTGTATGTATGTAGGCATGTTTTTATACTGGAATGTATGTATTTGCCTTCCTTGCTTTTATAATTGTATAGATTGTGTAGTAACTATTGCTGATGATGTATAGATTGTATGCTAACTATTGCTGATGATGTATAGAGTGTGTAGTAACTGTTGCTGATGATGTGTAGATTGTGTAGTAACTGTTGCTGATGATGTATAGATTGTGTGCTAACTGTTGCTGATTATGTATAGATTGTGTGCTAACTGTTGCTGATGATGTACAGATTGTGTGCCAACTGTTGCTGATGATGTAAAGATTGTGTGCTAACTATTGCTGATGATGTGTAGATTGTGTAGTAACTATTGCTGATGATGTGTAGATTGTGTAGTAACTGTTGCTAATGATGTGTAGATTGTGTGGTAACTGTTGCTGATGAGGTATAGATTGTGTGCTAACTGTTGGTGATGATGTATCTCTTCCATGTAGGACAACCCCATGCACCTGGACATGGTTCTCACCAAGCAGGCAGAGTTTCTCTTTTCTAAGGGCAAGTAAGTCTGTCGACACTTTGTCTGCTCATTTGTCTTATGATGATGATGATAGTTATAATTATTATTCTGTTGCTGATTTTCCTCATCCACGACTGCTGCTGCTACTGCCTCTCATGCTGTTTCTCCTCTAGCTCCTATTGTTACTTATGTAACTATCATGCTGACTTACTGATGAACGGAATGATGTCTCTTCTCTGTTGTTTACTAAATGATGAGATCCTTTGTTACCTTCTCCCAATGAATGGTATACCCCCCCCCCCCTCTCCCCCCACAGTGCACTGGTATTAAACAGATGTCTTGACTGGCACCTTACCATCTTTTCAGATGATAGTGTTATATTGTACTATGAGGAGGCCTGGGACTAGCAGCTCATGGTGATGGTCAGTGTAAAGTTGTTATATTGTACTATGAGGAGGCCGGGGACTGGCAGCCCTTAGTGATGGCCTGTGTAAAGTTGTTATATTGTACTATGAGGAGGCCTGGGACTGGCAGCCCTTGATGATGGCCAGTGTAAAGTTGTTATATTGTACTATGAGGAGGCCTGGGACTGGCAGCCCTTGATGATGGCCAGTGTAAAGTTGTTATATTGTACTATGAGGAGGCCTGGGACTAGCAGCTCATGGTGATGGTCAGTGTAAAGTTGTTATATTGTACTATGAGGAGGCCGGGGACTGGCAGCCCTTAGTGATGGCCAGTGTAAAGTTGTTATATTGTACTATGAGGAGGCCTGGGACTGGCAGCCCTTGATGATGGCCAGTGTAAAGTTGTTATATTGTACTATGAGGAGGCCTGGGACTGGCAGCCCTTGATGATGGCCAGTGTAAAGTTGTTATATTGTACTATGAGGAGGCCTGGGACTGGCAGCTCATGGTGATGGCCAGTGTAAAGTTGTTATATTGTACTATGAGGAGGCCTGGGACTGGCAGCCCTTGATGATGGCCAGTGTAAAGTTGTTATATTGTACTATGAGGAGGCCTGGGACTGGCAGCCCTTAGTGATGGCCAGTGTAAAGTTGTTATATTGTACTATGAGGAGGCCTGGGACTGGCAGCCCTTAGTGATGGCCAGTGTAAAGTTGTTATATTGTACTATGAGGAGGCCTGGGATGCAGTGAGGCAGTGTAAAGTTGGACTAGCAGCCCTTGGTGATGGCCAGTGTAAAGTTGTTATATTGTGATGGCCAGTGTAAAGTTGTTATATTGTACTATGAGGAGGCCTGGGACTGGGCTTGGTGAGCCCTTGGTGATGGCCAGTGTGTAAAGTTGTTATATTGTACTATGAGGAGGCCTGGGACTGGCAGCCCTTGGTGATGGCCAGTGTAAAGTTGTTATATTGTACTATGAGGAGGCCTGGGACTGGCAGCCCTTAGTGATGGCCAGTGTAAAGTTGTTATATTGTACTATGAGGAGGCCTGGGACTGGCAGCCCTTGTGATGGCCAGTGTAAAGTTGTTATATTGTACTATGAGGAGGCCTGGGACTGGCAGCCCTTGGTGATGGCCAGTGTAAAGTTGTTATATTGTACTATGAGGAGGCCTGGGACTGGCAGCCCTTGGTGATGGCCAGTGTAAAGTTGTTATATTGTACTATGAGGAGGCCTGGGACTGGCAGCCCTTAGTGATGGCCAGTGTAAAGTTGTTATATTGTACTATGAGGAGGGCTGGGACTGGCAGCTCATGGTGATGGCCAGTGTAAAGTTGTTATATTGTACTATGAGGAGGCCTGGGACTGGCAGCTCATGGTGATTGCCAGTGTAAAGTTGTTATATTGTACTATGAGGAGGCCTGGGACTGGCAGCTCATGGTGATGGCCAGTGTAAAGTTGTTATATTGTACTATGAGGAGGCCTGGGACTGGCAGCCCTTAGTGATGGCCAGTGTAAAGTTGTTATATTGTACTATGAGGAGGCCTGGGACTGGCAGCCCTTGGTGATGGCCAGTGTAAAGTTGTTATATTGTACTATGAGGAGGCCTGGGACTGGCAGCCCTTGGTGATGGCCAGTGTAAAGTTGTTATATTGTACTATGAGGAGGCCTGGGACCAGCAGCCCTTGGTGATGGCCAGTGTAAAGTTGTTATATTGTACTATGAGGAGGCCTGGGACTGGCAGCTCATGGTGATGGCCAGTGTAAAGTTGTTATATTGTACTATGAGGAGGCCTGGGACCAGGCAGCTAGTCAAGTATTTGCTGAATTTGGATGTAATGCACTGAAAAGTGCAGATATCACAGCCAAACTGTAAACACAAAAGACCATCTGTCCTTTCAGAGACAGATACAGAAGAAGAAAACATACTCATATTTGGATATTTACAGCATGTTTGATTCTGCTGTGTATACTCTGTATATTCTTACCGATTGTCTAGAGTCAGGCGTGAGATTCTCCCTGTGTGGTCACTAGCAAACAGCTGGAGCACTTCTGGAGATTTGAGCACTATCAAAGTGATCCTGTACAAAAACATGACTGTTTCCCTTTCTCTTCCCACCATTGGAAAGGTACGAGGAGAGTGCAGCCATGTATGCTCTGACACAGAACTCTTTCGAGGAGATTGCCCTGAAGCTGATCAAACTACCACAGAATGATGCCCTGAAGATGTTTGTTCATAAGAAGTTAGCTGCCCTCAGACCACAGGTTTGTATTGGTGTTTGACATTAAAGGGAAGGAGTGTAAAAATGTGGCCATCATTGCTGTACAGACTAGGCACTAAAGCTTACATGATTGTGTGACCTAGGAGTAAAACTTGGTGAAGCATGTCTGTGAGGTAAAGATATGAAACATTATGTCAAACTTCAAATGGATCAGTCAGTAGAGGTACCTTTGAGTGGTGACTGCATCGGAGGACTGAGCAGGCATGGAGAAGTCCAGTGTGCATGATGTCAGCCAGATAGTATAAGATATCACTAGCTTCATTAAATAGACCTGTGTAGCACAGCTCTCATCTCCGTTGTGTATGTTGATGTCACATCTAGGTTCGTCTTTAGGTTTGCTACAGGAGGAGTCGATTGAAAGATTATAGACGAGGAGAAAGATGGTCGTGTCGATAGTGACGCTGATGATGTCTGGCTAGCTGCATGCTTCTCACGTAACTCAGATGCTTGTATAATAAAATAGCTGTTCTTGTCTATACTGTCTTTATTGTGATACTCTAGCAATGTTACAAAATAACATCAATGATTTTCTGAAAGGCGCTGTGTTCTCTCTGTGGCTAAATACTCTTGAGGTTTGCGTTGTGTTTTTTCTCCCTATGGTTGCATACACTTAATGTCGCGTTGTGTTCTTTCTCCCTATGGTTGCATACACTTAATGTCGCGTTGTGTTCTTTCTCCCTATGGTTGCATACACTTAATGTCGCGTTGTGTTCTTTCTCCCTATGGTTGCATACACTTAATGTCACGTTGTGTTCTTTATCTCTAGTTACTTTGTTTCTAGTGTCTGTAACTGCCACCTGGCTTCTAGTGCTGTCTGGTACTAACGGATTGATCGTCGACTCTAACATCTTACAGTGTTCCTACCTAATGTGTCTCTGTTAACCATGGATCCAGGTATCTTGTGTGTTGTCTCTGTAGTTCGATATCTTGTTTCATGTCTGCTCTGTCTTCGAGGCTAAATATGACTGGCTCCTCTCCCTCTAGGGTTGAGTTGGCATCTCCAAAGCTGCGAGGATCATTAGACTAGTTGCTCGTCCTCTGAGTCTCAACGACTGAAGGTGTTCTTTGAGTCGAGCTGACATCTCTACAACTGAAGACTGCCTTGAGAGTTCATGTGACTGGTCTCTCCTCTCTTGAGTCTTGTGGACTAAAGAATTTTCTTGAGTGGATTCTTACCCAGTATTTATACTGGGATGCTGGAATGCTAGTTATTTGTTTTCTTCTCACTTTTTCTGCTTCTAGAATATTCTAGTATGTCTCAACTTGTTTACTAGGTAGGTTCTCACGAGGGATTTTCTAAAAATATGGCGATTGCATCGGATTTCATCATCCTATTCAACGCAGATATAGTAGTTAAACTGACAATTGACGTCAATAGAAGCTTCTAGAAAAACAAGTTCAATTGTGTTTGCTTTGATAGGGCACGACAACAAGGTATTTACTAGTACGACAAGGTTGGGTCACACGATGAAAAGAATGCATTTCAAAACTTCTAGAAAGAAGGCCACGGCCAGACAATGACGCCAAATGTTATTTATAGATTATTAATTTGCAAAACATTTCTCTCCAAAACTGGTTGATTTCCTTATATCCTAGCTTTGTGCCTACTAACAAACAAGCTATGTTACACCTGGACCATCTACAGTTACAGTAGATCAGTTTTTCCCACTGGAGGGCGGTGGGGGGTTGTTGGAGGGACCAATTCAAAAATGAACTGGTCCAGAGTTTGGGTTAGATAGGGGGCAGGCAAATGTTAGAAAGGCTTAGAAGGGGCATGTCGCAGAAAAGGTTTCGAAACACTGAATTAGAGCAATGTGGTGACCCCAGCCTCACAGCAAGTGCAGCTGACATGTCTCTGGGACAGCACAGGCCTCTTCCATGCTAGTGGTGGTGACCCCAGCCTGACAGCAAGTGTAACTGACATGTCTCTGGGACAGCACAGGCCTCTTCCATGCTAGTGGCAGTATTAGGCCTCCTGTACCAGGTAATTAGTAAATAGATTAGCTGAACTTGTGTATATCGGTAGAGCTAAACTGTAAGAGTAATTGCTGTATAGCAGTGGTTCTCAACCTGTTGGTTGCCACCCTTTTTTGGGAGGGGTCTAAAGAGTAATTGCTGTATAGTAGTGGTTCTCAACCTGTTGGTTGCCACCCTTTTTTTTTTTGGGGGGGGGGGGGGGTGTCTAATGACCCTTTCACAGGGTCACCAGAGACCATCGTAAAACACATATTCATTGAAGTTATGAAGTAGCAATGAAAATAACGTATGGTTGGGGGTCGCCAGAACATGAAGAACTGTATTAAAGGGTGGCAGCATTCGGAGGATTTAGAGCCACTGCTGTATAGCCATATTTGGGCACACATTTTCAAAGGTCAATGCATGTCATTTTATAACTGTAAAAATACAAATCATCTGTGTCTTAGTGACACTCAGAAATTGATCCAACAATAGTAACTGTTTTATTTTACATGTCGTAGTCAGAAGGTAACTGGGCTGGGTTCATACGAGACTGACTGCCTCATCCTGCAGAAGACAGTAGCTGCACAATCCAGCCCAGTATAAACAAGTTTACAAATGGCCTGGTGTAGATTGAGGGCCTATGCTCCAATGGGTGGTGACTGGTGGTAGAAGAATGAGTACATTTAGGTCTAGCCTCCAGTTAACAGGAAGTGACCAGAAGAATTTACACACACAAATTTGTATCTAGACCCAGGGTATGTACGTCTTTACACACAAATTTGTATCTAGACCCAGGGTATGTACTTCTTTACACACAAATTTGTATCTAGACCCAGGGTATGTACTTCTTTACACACAAATTTGTATCTAGACCCAGGGTATGTACTTCTTTAAACACAAATTTGTATCTAGACCCAGGGTATGTACTTCTTTACACACAAATTTGTATCTAGACCCAGGGTATGTACTTCTTTACACACAAATTTGTATCTAGACCCAGGGTATGTACTTCTTTACACACAAATTTGTATCTAGACCCAGGGTATGTACTTCTTCCATTGGTATATATAATAAATAAATATGCATTTATCAGAACTGATAGAAAGAAGCAAAAAGGTAGAAGGGCACACTAGAAAAACTATCAGTTATTGCCTTTATTATACCACTTATCGCCACGACCGTGCAGGTGAGCATTTTATTTTGCCCCTGCTAGAAAACGAATTCAGAAGTTAAAGTGACTATGCCGAGAATCAAACAAATGATAGCAACACACAAAACTGACTAAGACGCACAAGCAATATCTAGGTATGATGTGTATGTTGTCTAGTGTGTCCTATCTTTCTCCTTCTTTCTTTGAGTGCCGATCAATACAGGTATGTTTGTTTAATCTATATATACTGTTTCTGCTGCCTCAGTGATCCCCTACCAGTTTACATGCTGATTTAGCTATGTAAGAGTAACTGATATGTTCTGTTTTCTGACAGGACAAGACCCAGATGTGGCTATGTAAGAGTAGCCATCTTGTAACTGATATGTTCTGTTTACTGACAGGACAAGACCCAGATGTGGCTATGTAAGAGTAGCCATCTTGTAACTGATATGTTCTGTTTACTGACAGGACAAGATCCAGATGTGGCTATGTAAGAGTAGCCATCTTGTAACTGATATGTTCTGTTTACTGACAGGACAAGACCCAGATGTGGCTATGTAAGAGTGGCCACCATGTAACTGATATGTTCTGTTTACTGACAGGACAAGACCCAGATGTGGCTATGTAAGAGTGGCCACCATGTAACTGATATGTTCTGTTTACTGACAGGACAAGACCCAGATGACAATGCTGGTGACCTGGATGATTGAGCTGTTTCTCAACCAGCTGGGAGAGCTCAAGGAGCAGGGCCAGGATGACACGTCCGAGTACGAGAACACCCAGGAGGAGTTCCGCAAGTTTCTCACACAACAGAAAGTCAAGGTCACCATGAGCAGATAACCTGTACACTTCCTGTTCAATTGTCTAACTTTGTCATGTTTTCTTCTTTTGTCATAATTTGTGGTATGCCACTAAGTATCAGAGATGAACAGATGATATGTAACCAGGACAGTGTGAACTTGGTTATTTGATATGCTCTGATGCTGTGTGGTAACATGTTTTGTCTTTTGATATTTTTTTTATCAGCAGTGAGCAGGTCCTTTACAAAGTCTCTCTTTCTATAGCTACCTCCGCAACCCTGTGTGCTTTTGGAGCCAAGGTACTTTCAGGGTCTTGTTTACACCATCGCAGAGATCATCCTCTGCCTTGTTGTCTGCTGCTTCTAATCTTCTCTTATTCTCAGGGTACAAACATATTTTTAGATCAATGGGTACTGGGAGATGTGATTGCTTTTACTTTCCAGGAAATTTTTAGATAATCGTTTAGCCTGAATCAGCCCTGGAGCCTAGATCAGTGACAACAGAATCCCCCTATCTGTACAGAGATTTAGCCACATGGCCAGGAGGTCAGCATGTAAACTACTTGGCCACTAGAGTCCCCTGGCATTTAAGGTGCTAGACTCAGATATTTATAGAGATGCTGATAAGGTAGCAAGTATCATATTAGCTTCCTTTACTTCCGAAAATGTTTCCTGATACCAGTTTTAGGTTGAAGTCGACCTGGGATGCTGAGGTCAGTGTTTACAAAAAATCCTTGTCCAAGTTGCGACTCGTATCTATGACTACTAGACTAGCAGGCTGTCTGTATGTTCTCCAGAAATACACGCATACTGGATGTATGTACCAGAAGGATTCTTGTCGGCTGTCTTGTGGGACCCCCCCCCCCCACCCTTTCCCTCCCCCACACACACACAACACACACGTGCATGCACGTTCTTGCGCACGTATGCACACACTTCATACACCCACGTCCGTGTGCACCCATGCACACACTTCACACACGCATGCACACACTTCACACATAGACAAAGGTGTGTGAGTGTTTTCTACAAGCTAGACATACTCACAGATTGTGTTTCTAGTATGTTTGTGACTACAAGAATGTTTGTTGTGTTAGAGCAGTTCTGCACATATAAATGTTACATACTGGAGACATTGACCGATGGTTTCTGATACATGTTTGTTGTGTTAGAGCAGGTCTGCACATATAAATGTTACATACTGGAGACATTGACCGATGGTTTCTGATACATGTTTGTTGTGTTAGAGCAGTTCTGCACATAAAAATGTTACATACTGGAGACATTGACTGATGGTTTCTGATACATGTTTGTTGTGTTAGAGCAGTTCTGCACATATAAATGTTACATACTGGAGACATTGACTGATGGTTTCTGATACATGTTTGTTGTGTTAGAGCAGTTCTGCACATATAAATGTTACATACTGGAGACATTGACCGATGGTTTCTGATACATGTTTGTTTCAGGAGTGTGTGACACACAACAGGAGTGTTGTCTACGATCTGATTGCCAGCCATGGTGATGTGGAGGATCTGGTGTTCTTTGCTGTCTTGATGAAAGGTGTGTAGGAAACGAGGGCACAGATGAACACATTATACTGAGAACTAGTGTCAGCAAGGGCAGTTGCAGTAATGTTGTAGCTGGCAGTTGCAGTAATGTTGTTGCTGGCTCTTTTATGCTCAAATGCCAATAAAGGCGTGGATCTGGGTTCTCAGTCAGCTCAGCTTTACAGGGCTACCAGGAAATGTATAGGAAGTCAAGGGGGCTGGCATGATATTGCCCACATTATCCACTGATTGTCCAAGGGGGCTAGTTGGTATATTGCCCACATCATCCACTGATTTTCCAAGGGGGCTAGTTGGTATATTGCCCACATCATCCACTGATTGTCCAAGGGGGCTAGTTGGTATATTGCCCACATCATCCACTGATTGTCCAAGGGGGCTAGTTGGTATATTGCCCACATCATCCACTGATTGTCCAAGGGGGCTAGTTGGTATATTGCCCACATCATCCACTGATTGTCCAAGGGGGCTAGTTGGTATATTGCCCACATCATCCACTGATTGTCCAAGGGGGCTAGTTGGTATATTGCCCACATCATCCACTGATTGTCCAAGGGGGCTAGTTGGTATATTGCCCACATCATCCACTGATTGTCCAAGGGGGCTAGTTGGTATATTGCCCACATCATCCACTGATTGTCCAAGGGGGCTAGTTGGTATATTGCCCACATCATCCACTGATTGTCCACGGGGGCTGGTTGGTATATTGCCCACATCATCCACTGATTGTCCAAGGGGGCTGGCATGATATTGCCCACATCATCCACTGATTGTCCGGTGATTTGTACAAACATGGGGTTACTTCCATACATAATATTCTCAGTCGTGTAGACAAGATTCTTTATGTTTCACCTTGACCTTGCATGGGCGTCCATGTCTGCTTCATCAACACTTTGAACCAGATTTTTTGTCTTCAGTAGCTGATTATATTGTTCTAACAATGCTGTAAATGAATGTGACTGTATTGTTTGCATTTTGTTCTACTAAACATCCTGTAAGATGTTCTTGGAGCAGATATCTCCGCAACTGATATTAAAGCTTATCTCTCTAAGTAGCAGGAAATTTAGCTGGACACTCAAAAGTCATGATAATCATAATGCTCATCAACAAGGCATAAGAGCCTTACTGTCGCAGATACAGCAACTCTTATACTAAGTTGATTATTAGAATAACTAGCCATGTTTCTATAACGTGATTAGGCTACACAGTAATCACTTTGTTCGTTGTTTGGCACACATGAAGTATAACCAGTCACACATGGTGCGTTCATGAAAGAGTTGTCACAAGTTGTGTGTATTCACTGCAGCTGTATGGAGTAGAGACGAGGACACTGACCAACCTGAAAAAGCATAAATTGAGGCTTTAAACATGGGCCATTTAGAGATGGATTTTTCTGGACGGAGAACAAAGCAGATAAAGAATTTCTGAAACAGCTGAATTTTAAAAAAGAAAATAAATTAGAAAGAAAAAAAAAAGTTTGTTGAAGGAAATATAAAAAAGAAAAACAGTATAATTTTGTGACATCAAACAAGATACAATTCTACAGAAAACCATAATAACAGGCAAAGTTAAGGTACAAGAGCTATAGGAAATCAAGGGTACATTTGGACAGACAGGAAATGGTCATGATACAGTTTAGGGCAGCACTAGTTGACTGTAGGCCCACGTGCTGAATCTGACCCCAAGAGGCCTAGCAAGGGGCCCACTGATTGTTGTCAGTTGTGTTAATGCTCATGCTGTGCTAAGGCTCAAGCCTCTCACCCGTGACAATCCCCAGAGGGTTAGCAAGTTGCCCACTGATCGTTGTCAGTTGTATTAATGATCATTCTGTGCTGGGGCTCAAGCCTGTCACCTGTGGCCGTTACCCATGTTCAACATTTTAGACCCAGAGTAAACTGAGTTAGCAAGCAGAATATGGAGTAGGGGTTCGAGTCAGACACTGATGGAGATGTGTTCTCCAGTCTTCACCGAGATAAAAGGGACAGGAAACTGGTGGAGATGTGTTCTCCAGTCTTCACTGAGATAAAAGGGACAGGAAACTGGTGGAGATGTGTTCTCCAGTCTTCACTGAGATAAAAGGGACAGGAAACTGGTGGAGATGTGTTCTCCAGTCTTCACTGAGATAAAAGGGACAGGAAACTGGTGGAGATGTGTTCTCCAGTCTTCACTGAGATAAAAGGGACAGGAAACTGGTGGAGATGTGTTCTCCAGTCTTCACTGAGATAAAAGGGACAGGAAACTGGTGGAGATGTGTTCTCCAGTCTTCACTGAGATAAAAGGGACAGGAAACTGGTGGAGATGTTTCTCCAGTCTTCACTGAGAGTTGTGGCCACCACCTGGAAGAGTTAAGGGTTTTCCCACATGATAGTTCTACAGGCAGCAGTGAGCACATTAGCGAGTCTTTATTGTGGAGATGGCACATAGTTTTTAGTGTTTTAGATTAGATATAAGTAGATCAGGTGTAAGTAGATTAGATGTAAGTAGATTAGATGTAAGTAGATTAGATGTAAGTAGATAGGTGTAAGTAGATCAGGTGTAAGTAGATTAGATGTAAGTAGATTAAAGGTAAGTAAACAGATGTAAGTAGATTAAAGGTAAGTAAACAGATGTAAGTAGATCAGGTGTAAGTAGATTAGATGTAAGTAGATTAGATGTAAGCCTCACTTGTGACTGTGTTTCTCCTCCCCAGATTTTGAGCGGGTGATCAGCCATCACATCCAGCATGACAACTACCGGGGCGCCCTGGAAGTGCTCACCAAGCAGGTAGCTGCTCCTGTAGATATGAGACTTTCTCCTCTCCTTGGAGATTTTGTTGATGCTGTTATTGATTTATTAGAAACCTTGTGTTGGTTCTTTAACCCTATTGTTGGGGATAAAAATAGATCCAGTGCCTCTGCAGCAAGCATGTTTTAGAAGTTGACTAAGTGGGAATATTCTTTGAAATCAGAGCACATCTGCCTGAGAGGCAGAAAACCAAAAGTCCTCATGCAAATAAGTCACATGTGTGAAATGGATGTGCAGGCAACACTCAGATTCTGGAACAAGGCTAAATTCCAGAGTTGGACAGACACCCAAAACTTTCTGCTGAAGTTTACAGCCGGTGAATGCAAAGAAGAAGAGGACTTAGTAGAACAGCTTTTTTCTTATAGAAGATGTGAGAGGTAATGCAGTCCCCTAGCTGCAGTACTGTTGTGGAGTACAGAGTCTTGTCTTAGCCAGCTCATGTGAGGTGAAGTAGTCAGGTCCCTTCCTCATTGTTTTTTATTTACCAGATGACTCCAAGAATATTGTCTGGTGCCAGTTTCTTAGAAACTAGTTTAACCCCAGAACTGACCCCTGAGCCGACCCCAGTGCCATACTGGTGATAACACACTTATTCTGTCTCTACGAGGAATGGAATCTACACCACATGAAACTTTTTATTTTAAAATATTACATCAGTCTAGATTCTATGATATGTTTATAGATAGTCTAGATCGTATGATATGTTTACAGATAGTCTAGATTGTATGATATGTTTACAGTCTAGATTGTTTGATATGTTTATAGATAGTCTAGATTATATGATATGTTTACAAAGTCTAGATTGTATGAAATGTTTACAAATAGTCTAGATTGTATGATATGTTCATAGATAGTCTAGATTGTATGATATGTTTACAGTCTAGATTGTATGATATGTTTACAGATAGTCTAGATTGTATGATATGTTCATATATAGTCTAGATTGTATGATATGTTTACAGATAGTCTAGATTGTATGATATGTTTACAGATAGTCTAGATTGTATGATATGTTCATAGATAGTCTAGATTGTATGATATGTTCATAGATAGTCTAGATTGTATGATATGTTCATAGATAGTCTAGATTGTTTGATATGTTTATAGATAGTCTAGATTGTATGATATGTTCATAGATAGTCTAGATTGTATGATATGTTCATAGACAAAGCATACGTTGATCATGTATGCAGTGGATTTTCATTCCAATTAATATTTTCTTTTTTTTTTAAAGAAATTTAATATTTTCTTCCTATTACTATTATTCTTCCTCTCCTTCAGCATTTAGAGCCCATGAGGTTCATCGACACAGATATCACCTTCCTCCATTTGTATTTCTGATTTTAAAAAAAAGTAAAGATCCCTTTTCACGCCTTTCGGCGCATCGGGCATACGGGCAGAGCGTCCCATATTTTTTACAGACCAATCGGCACTCGGTGGGTAATGTGGTCAGCATTACGCCGGCCGTCTTTACTTCCCCAGGACAGCCATCCTGGTACCCATTTGAGGCTGAGTCGACCTGCGACGTCCCACACCACGATAAAAATCCACGCAGCCTGCAGTGGGTTTCGATCGTGGTACGTTGGATTACGAGTCGGACTCGCAACGCCTTAGCCACGGACGCCGCTGTATTTCTGATTGGCCTTGTGTTTTCATTTTGGTGACCACACATGTTTGTTGATCTGTCTTATATTATCTGTCCACGGTCTTCTTGGTCTGCTTTTGAGTCTGCTCCCTTTCAACTGTTTGTTGTAGCCAGTTTTTGTCTCTCTGTCCTCATCCATTCTCTCTGGATGTCCCAACCAATGTCATCTATTTCCTATGTACCAGTACTATTGATAAAGTAACCCCGTGTGAAATGTGAAAATGAAATTTTTGGTACAAGTGAAAGAAAAGAATATCAGAATGTAGGATAGATTTTCTCAACCCTTTGAAAGTAAATACTTGTTTGTCTGTGCATGTGTATGTTTGTTTTGCTGATTCTGAGTGATGTTAAAGTACGTAGATATTTTTCCCAGTCGGACATGGAGCTCTACTACAAGTTCAGCCCGCTGCTGATGCAGTACACACCCAAGGAGACGGTGGATGCCTGGATTCGACAAGGAAAACAGCTGGACCCAAAGAAACTCATCCCCGCACTCGTCCAGTATGACCACACTAGGTTCCGTGAACAGGTACCTCATAGTCTTTCTTTACCCTTCTACTTTGTTCAATATCCTTGTTTTCCTTACCCTTACATTTTTTTGCTTTGATTATTACTGTTCTCTCCCTCTCCCACTTTTTCACCTTTCTTGCTTACACAAGTTTTTTTTGGTTTTTTAATTTAGATCATTGTTACATTTTCATTTTATTTATTTAATTCTTGCTCTCCCATTTTTGATTTAACCTTTCATGCTTTCATCCATCTGGCTGTCATCAGGGTGTCAGTTGTGTGTGCAGAAACACTGGTATTCTCTGTGTTGCCTGTTAGGACAATCAGACTTGTCAGGTTAATGCCTGCTGCCTGTTTGGACTGTCAGACTTGTCAGGTTAATGCCTGCTGCCTGTTAGGACAATCAGACTTGTCAGGTTAATGCCTGCTGCCTGTTTGGACTGTCAGACTTGTCAGGTTAATGCCTGCTGCCTGTTTTGACTGTCAGACTTGTCAGGTTAATGCCTGCTGCCTGTTTGGACTGTCAGACTTGTCAGGTTAATGTCTGCTGACTGTCAGACTTGTCAGGTTAATGCCTGTTGGTTTCCTAGTCTGGCATTGCCACAGAAATCTGTACCAGTTGTATCGCTTCCCTGATGTGTGACGAACATGTGGTAGTGAAGCAGGAGTCTAGACATGAAGTTGAGACAGTCAAATCAAAACAGTCTACTAAGTCAAGACAGTCTAGTAATTCAAGTCAAAACAGTCTAGTCGGTCAAGTCAAGACAGTCTAGTCATTCAAGTCAAGACAGTCTAGTCAGTCAAGTCAAGACAATCTAGTCATTCAAGTCAAAACAGTCTAGTCGGTCAAGTCAAGACAATCTAGTCATTCAAGTCAAAACAGTCTAGTGAAGACAATCTAGTCATTCAAGTCAAAACAGTCTAGTCGGTCAAGTCAAGACAATCTAGTCATTCAAGTCAAAACAGTCTAGTCGGTCAAGACATTCTATGCAGTCAAGACAGTCTAGTCATTCACGTCAAGACATTCTATGCAGTCAAGACAGTCTAGTCATTCATGTAAAGACAGTCTAGTCAAGAAAGTCTAGTCGAACCAGGCTTGTCAGTCAAGTAAAGACAGTCTTGTCAAGACAGTCTAGTCAAGACAGTCTAGGCAGTTAAGACAGTCTAGACAGTCAAGTCAAGACAGTCTAGTTGTTATGCCAGTGGTGCAATAGATATATGGTGTTAGACATTTGTCTGTCTAGACTAGTGATGTCAAAATCATGCTGGTCGCCAGTACCTCCCAAGTCATTTCCTGAGACTGGGTCAACCTGGAAATCTAGATCGCGTCCCCCCCCCCCCCCACCCCCGCAATCCATCCAGTAAGGATTCAAACTCAAGAGTGTTGGGTCGGCAGGCCAGCATCTAGTACTTTGCCACCTCACCCCTTGCTGGTCTTGTTTATATTTCGACAATGCTCCTTTTATGACAGCCCCTTTGGTGAAGTCCAGCCTACGGGAAATAATTTCAGAGCCCACATGTGTGATAAGAACTCATCAAGCCTCTCTTTCATCTGATTTTTACCGATGAATGGGCTGTTCATACCAACTTTGTCCTATCAGTGCTAGACATGGACAATTCTAGGAAAACATTAACACAAAATTACCACATGTGAGATGAGATGTATACAAAATGTGGTGGGAAGAGATTTAGCACTGGAGAACTGAGAACAATAGTAGGCACGGTCCCGGTGAAACATCAAAGAGTCTAACTGTTTGTTGGACTCCCACTGTAGAACTAGAAAGATGGATTCAGGCTTTCGAATATAACTGCTATAGATGACTTTTACAAATGAGTTATTTATTTAGAACAAAAAACTAACTTATGTCAGAGACAAAATAACAAATTTGCAGGACATCAGGAGCCTCACTTGGCAGTGGTGAAGCGTCGCAAGCTAGCTTGGTCTAGCACGTAGTGAGACATGATTCGATTGCAAAGACTGTACTTAGGGAACAATCGGGGGTAGAAAAAGAGGAGGGCAAAGAAGAATCTGGAATGAAAACATCTAGAAATGGACAGGACTAAATTATCAGACACTTGTTCAACCGGCAGAAGACAGAGAAAGATGGCGGGTTTTGTTTGTTAGTGCTTCGACCATGGCCCTAATGGGTCAAGGGTTATGTTATGTTATGTCTAACTTTGTGACTAAGCTGTGACACATTTATATAATACCTGCTAGTGGTTTCAAATTGTTATGTTTAATGATATTGAGACTTTGTGGATAATATGCTTGTGCATTTGTGTATTGTCTGTTGCAGGGTAATGAAGCCATCAGATACCTGGAGTTCTGTGTTCAGAAATTGGAAAACAAAGATCTAGCCATACACAACTATCTCTTGTCTCTGTACGCTAAACTGCAGCCAGACAACTTGATGACCTACCTCCAGCTCCAAGGAGAGGTGAGTTTATTGATGGTCACTTTCACAAATAACTAGTCAGCTTCACATATTCACAGTCACAAATGACATAGAGCTTCCAGTCAAAATGCACCATAGGCACATTCATTGTTTTTAGTCTTGGCACATTTCTGTTTTTGGCAAAGGATGGCTGTTGCATTTTTTCTCTATTTTTAGACCTGACAGGATATAGTTTTGTCACCCAGCTACTGAGTTGAGTACACGGTGCAACACTGTGAGCTGTAGATTTAGAAAATAGCGAGTGGCCTTGTGCTGCAGAATTGGTGGTGCCTTATTGTGATCAAAATTAATTGTGTGTGCTACTGCTGATCTGTTTGTAACAGGAAGTGACCTAGGAATAAATGATTGGCAGGTAGGTGAGGAGTTATGAC